ACATATTTATTGAATATTTTGTACATTTTCACGAATTTTAGAATTGTATAAATAATTTATTTATAATTTTTATTACCTAAGGTATAACCTGAAAATTTCTAGACAGATTTAAGATCATCACTTCAATTATTTATTTGCATAAAAATCAGTTATTGTGTTGGTCTAATTCATCAAATATTGTAAATTAGTAATCCATGTATGGGTGTATTGTGGTTTATTTAATATTGTGTTAGTTTAATCTTATAGATTAAAAGTCCATGCATGTGTGTAATTATGATTTATTTTCTTTTTTTTTTTTGGTATCTACATTATTATTTCATACCATAGTTTAAATAAATTGTTTATTTAAATTTTGTACAATTGTTTATTATTGTGTGACATATGTAGTATTTTATGTGGGGATTCTAATGAGTTGGTATAACATTATTGGTAATTAAATTTTGAATTTTTGTGAATATCTCAACAAGTAAAGAAATACGAAATTTAACCAATGATACATTAAAATGTAAAAGTGATGGGGTGAGCCCGGTTTAGAATCTTGCGTAAGTGAGTTGCGAACCCTAACATGGCATGGGAAAGTATTTCGGCTCTTATCGATGTAGGCGATATAAGGTTGGTGGTACGGGTGTCACAGCATAGACCATTCCTTTGGGGCAGACCATGATGTCACGACTCGGGTACGTAACTCTAGTACGTGGGCATCATTGGTAGTTACCGTAAATAATATTTAAATATTTGACCAAGGGAGAGTCAGAATTGCCCGTGGCCATTGCTTAGCAGTTGAATGGAAATAGTGCTCCGCGGGGAGTTACTAAATTTATCTGATAAACTAAATCTATGAAAAAATTTTTTTTTAAAAAAATGTGGACATATTCCTTATGATGAAATACTGTTTCCGTTTGTTATATTTTTATTTGATTTATTATTATTTATTGTTATTATTTCAATTGATAACATTTATTTTATGCTTACTAAATATTACTGGTTATTCTGTTACTACACATTATTCATGAATTGAGTATTATTATCGGGGTGGGCACTTTCGGGTTGTAGTATCTTATTGAGCTCGTCGCTCACTGACATTCCCGTTGCCCTGGCGTTTTATGCCAGGTACCGAAGAAATCGAAGGAGACACCGAGGCCTTTCAAGGCGACACTCAGCCTTGGTTAGCTTGAAGAGTGCCAAAGTTTCATGAACCATTTCCTAAAAATTCTAGTTTTTCTCTAGTTTTCTTTTTATATTTGTGTCATTTCGGTTATGTACTAAGACTAAGTTGTGATGTAAGAACTTTAAATTCTGGGTTGTTAGTTAATGGATGCTAGTAATCTTGGTGGCAATATTGATTTTTAAGTTACTAAATCTTATTATGATGTCCTTAAATTTGGGGCGTCTCAAACTATTACTACGTCGAACAACGGTTAAGAGCATCTCCAATGGAGCTGCCAAAGGAGCCGCCGAAATTATAATTTAGCAAGAGTGACCCAAAAGGGGTCTCCAATGGTCTGCTATTCTTCTTGCCAAATCTAGCAGATGTCATTTCTGTTGTCAAATTTGGCAAAAAGAATAGCAGGTGCCAAATAGGCCACCTCATCAAAGATCAACAAATTTTGGCTCCAAATCAGTTGAAAAAACAAAATGAATTCACGAGGAAAACCTCCAAAAATCTTTAAAAAAATGTTTTTAATTTTTTCAACATTTTTGTAAAAAAAAAAAACAGAATTCCTTTATCACAGAATGTTCACCATTCGTTTATTTTTGCATAGTTCACCAGAATTGAGAAAAAAACAGAATTTCAAAAAACAAAATCTAACTGCAATTTCAGAATTATCATTCAAAAACTAGTTTCACAAATTTTACAAATTTCAATCAAGAACAAATCACAAAATTTCCAAATTTCAGAATCAATTTAGAACAAGTCAAACCCAAATTTCAGTCAAGAACAAATCAACCCAAATTTCACAAATTCATATAAATTTTTTAAACGAATTTAGAAAATAAATACCTAGATTCCAGCATGATTGATGGACTTATTCTTCATCTCAATCTCCATTGACCTCTAGGGCTTGTTCCATCGAATTTCGCAATCGGTGGTGTTCCATCAAACCCAAATAGTGATGTTCCAAACACTAGTGTTCCATCGAACTTCACGATTGGTGATGGGTGATCAGCGCTAATGGTGGTAATGGAAATCTGTGTGTGTGTGTGTGTGTGAGAGAGAGAGAGAGAGAGAGAGAGAGAGAGAGAGAGAGAGAGAAATGATATATCTTTGAAGGGATTGGTGAAGATAGTGAGCAAAACAGAGGAAGCACAATTGAACAGGTTGGAAAATCAGGTGGACAATAGAGGAGGAGGGGCTGGGGAGTACCTTTGCTTCGTTCGAAAGCTTAAGTTTCGACACTCCAACAAGGTCTTGAAGCACGGCTTGTCGATCTTGAAGAACCCTAGGAAGTGATCTAGTCTTAGCCCCTGAAGAGAAAGGGGGCTGTGAGTTGCCTCTGCTGTGGATGAAGATGGAACACTAGAGAGAGAGAGAGAGAGAGGGGGGGAAGAAAAGCTCACTTCTGACTGGTTTGGATGCAAGAGAGAAAGATGTTGTCTTGGAATGCATAAAGGGGATGCTTTTAGATGTTTGATCTCAACCGTTGGATTGTGGGTAGGTGGACGACGACGCTGGTATCTTGGAAATGCAAAAGAGTCGTCGTGCTCTTTTTTCCTATAATTTTTTTTTAAAAAAAAAGTACAAAACAACAGCTATAAATTAACAGTCGTATTTTTTTTTTGGGTCTCAACGGCTATTATTTGTCAACAGTCATATTTTGTATTTCTATAAATAAAAACCCTCAATCTCAATTTCATTTCACATCAAACATTTCAAATTAAATTTTCTTTTCTCTTATCTTTATCTTCATTTCATTTCACAGCAAACCTCTGAAATTGCAATTTTCTTTTTAGTATTTTTGTACAATCACTATGGAAGGTTCATAAAAAATAAAGAGAGAAAAATCATTCACCATTGATGAAGACGTGGCAATTTGTAAATCTTGGTGTTACATTTTTGAAGACCTAATTATTGGCAATTCGTAATCATATGCTCACTTTTAGGGGAGAATTTACGAAAATTATTGATTGTTTTAGAATGATCAGTCAAGAACACAAGTATCTATCCAATCTCGATGGAATATAATCATGAAATATTCCAACGAATTTCGTGCCTATTTACGCAAGTCAAAAATTTTCACCTAAGTGGGATATCTCAAGTTAATATAGTAAAATTTCATATTAATTTTTTATGTTAGTTTTTCATTTTGTATCGTATAAAAATTAACTAATTAATTAATATCTATATAGATGTTACAGGCAAAACTTTTATACCATCAAGATGAAAAAAAAAAAAAAAAACAGAACAAAACAAAACAAAACAAACATTTTGCTTTTGAACATGGTTAGCAAGTATTGCAAAACAATATCAAGTGGAAAGATACAGCTCCTACAAACACAGTCAAATCAAGGATACATACACCATTTACCAATTCAATCCCTGATTCCCCTATGGATAACTACATTTTTCTTGAAGACAATAACAGTCCAAGTATTGGTAACAATCCAACTATTGGTAATAATCCAATTTGTGAGAGTAGTGTCTCTACAAAGGGTAAAAGGCTTACGGGTAGGAAATTTGTAAAAGAATTACTTCAAAAAAGTCAAGCGATTGAAATTGAAGTCCACAAATTTAACAATTTATCAGAGACATTTAACCAACACCTTGCTGAGAAGGAAATGAAAAAAACTGAAATAGAAGAAAAAATGGCTAAAACATTGCAGAAAATGAAAGAACTTGAGATAAAAAATGAAGAACATTTGATAATGACTACGGACATTTCTCATTTGAACCCTTAGACGAAAAAGTATTACATAATGCGCAAAAATGAGAATTTCGCCATGTGCCGCACATGTCAACAACCCAAATTACTATTTTTCCCTACCTCTTGATGAATAATTACAAGAGAATATATTTTTTAATTTTACAATGTCATTTATTTGTCAATGTAATTTTTATTATTTCTTTTTAAATATAATTTTTATTTTGCAATGTAATATAGTAGTCCATGTAATTTTAATGTAGTTAAAATTTTTTAATTTTTTTTTGCAGTAGCATGTTTTTTTGGTGAGGTAAATTATATATAACAAAAAAAAATTCAATTTTTTAATTTTTTTTTTATATTTTTCTAGTAGGGTACAATGTAAATATTTTAATTTTTTTTATAAAAAAAGTCAAAAAAAAGTCACAAAAGACAGAGAATAAACAATAAAAAAAAAATTCACTAAAAAACCTACATCCAAATAACACCTACATAATTATAGAGAAAATTGGTTAAAATTTACCAAAATAACACATGACCATTAGAGCACCATTGCTATAATTTTACAATTTATTACTATTCATTACCAAATGATAACAATGACTATACTATTATAACATTTGTCATTAGATATGCTCTAAATCCATTTTCATTAAGTACTTGCTTTCTGAAAAGAATAAATGGAAGCACAACAGACTTATTTGTAACAATACTTACGGAGAAGTCCTTTTTTGCATGAAAATTATATTATAAGATAATTATCACCAAAACAAATCATATTTTATTATCATTCAATTAATGATCTAAACAAGCCATTAAAAATTAGATTATCCAAACCCTAATTGAATATTTTAGAGATGAATTTGGAAAAATTAAAATACAAGACCACCAAAGTCACCTGAAATGCAATTTTAAGTCATTTCCAATAAAAAGGAGCTCCACAAGTGTTTAAGTTCTGAAGTAATATGAATTAAATGCAATTCAATCATATTTCAAATAATGCTATGACAGAATTTGAGTACTAAAATTTGATTTTGAGAATCAATTAATGCTTAACCAGCGCATTGGTTTAGTAGGCTCAACATTTCAGATCTCATGCAATTTTCATGTCTCATATCAATGTACTTGAGACACATCAACTAGTATTCAAAATTTTGGTACTCAAATTTAATTATTGTAACATTACTAACTTTAGAAATGCATCAGTTGACAGATGAGAGTCGCACACCAATGCCATCATGCTTTATAGCCTTATAAAGTGGAACATCAAAATGCACTAAGAAGGGAAAACAAATCTATCTATATATATATATATAAGAACAAAAATCGAAACAAAAAGGCAAAAAAAAATCGAAGCCTCGCCCAACTTCTCTAGTATTCTGGTCCGGTGTCCTCCCTCACTCATCATCTCCAATCTAATCCTTCTTTTCAACCAAAGAACACAAAATACAGTTTGTTACGGTGCTGCTATATAAATCTCTGGTTTTCTCAGTTATACACATTTCTGAATGGAAACATTGCAAGACGTGCACAGGCATGAGAGAGAAAGAGAGGGGGAGCATTGGGAGCATGATCAAACTCGGGCTGATTTGAGCCGGTAGTAAGGTGTAAACATCATACACAAGATACAAGAGAAATCTCCAACAACGCAGGTGACGGCTTGATCAATAATTACACCACCCTTTACAACAAATACCTATATTGCCAAGCCGTCGCTATTTAAAGAACAAACCCCTTTTCTTTCCTTTCCTTTTCTCACCAGCCTGCAAGATGAGTGAAGGGACACCTTTGTAAAAAAAACTTTCAAATTGGCAATCCCACATTGGTTAATTCTATGTTACAAGATGTGAATGCCAATCCAATGAAAGACATGAATTCAACCACAACACAACATGCGAATTTGTTGCCAAAATGCAACACCACATTGCTTAATTCAATGCAACAAGATGGCCAGTGTTAATCTAATGGAACACTATTCTAAACAAATGAATTCAACCAATACAACAGGTGAACTGGCTGTTAGAAAATGGTACAGTGAGTAATTTTAATATTCCGCATTCTGCATAAATACTGAAAAATGAAAGCCAATTATGCATTGTGACACGATTGAGGGAAAAAAAAATCTTCCAAGTATGATGAGGAATAACAAATTATTTCATCCACAAATGGTAAGTCAAGAGCATGCAATGATAATGCACAGTAAGCTACGTTAAGTGAAGTGGAAATGAGCATATACAAAACTGCAGAAAACATCCGAAGAATCACATTGATGCAAAGGAAGTGTGTAGGAAGCATAATCCGCACAACAAGATCACCCAACTCTTCTACAATTCTCTTGAATCCTAATATTACTAGAATATTATGAACAAATTAAGTAAACTCTATCTCATAAATTTTCTTAATAACACAAAAACAAATAGCCCCAAGTTTTAACTTATTTATCAATAGAACTCCTAAAGCAACCAGGAATAAGAAAACATAGTTGTTTCCTTACGATTTGAAGCGATTACTGAATAAATAAAGGGTAAATTACACTACTGAGGTTTGGAGAAAACACAAGAAGCCTCATGGTTTTGGCATAATTACACCAACCTCCCTTGTAGTAAGGTTGAAGGGATCAGAACTAATGTAGACAGTGTGAAAACACAGAGATAAACAATGAAAAATATATATTTCAACATAAAAACCACTAACAGAAAGTTGCTAACTTATGGAAGATGTGCACCTCAAGGTTGTTAAAATCGGGATCCTACGTTGGATCGTTGGAGGTATTTATAGGATCGGATCGTAGAATCGGATCGAGGATCGTAAGATCCTACCGAAAAAGACAAATTACATAATAATTTAATTTAAATAAATATTTCTTATAAAGTATACACAAAATGAACCTATATTATATTAAAAAGAAGTAAACATATTGTGAAAAATATAATATTCCATGTAAAATGTACATATAATATTATGCAATAGAAAACTCGATGGTAAAAGTTCTGTATTTTAGCAAAAAAGAAGGTAAAGAAGAAGAAGAATTCTATAACAAAATACTTTACAATGTACAATAATGCATAAAAAGTGAAGAAAAAATATTTAACAAAATTGGATATGAAAATAGATTAAGAACTCAAAAGAGTAGCTTAGTCGAATGATAAGATTGTCGTTTGCACCCCTGGTGGAGCGGATTCGAGTCACAAAAATAATTTCTCCAGAAATTGGGATAAAGTTGCAATCATCTTACCCTTCTTAGACTACGCTAAAGCTAAGTTTGTTTTTCCGACTATTTAATTTTCTTAAATTACCGCAATATTTGAATGTTTGTTTCTTAGTTTGTTTTTCTTAGTCTATTTGATTCAATACTACTTAATTTTTATTATTTATTTTGACAGCATAAATTAGTATTTAGACAACAAACATAAAATTTACAACAAAATATGTCATGCAATACAAAACAAAGCTTGTAAATTGAATCGGATAGGATCGGATTCGGATCGGGATTCCACGATCCTATAAGATCTCACTACTAGGATCGAAAGATCCTACCTATAAGGAGTTTTTTGTACGATCCGGATCGATTGTACTCAAATGGATCGTAAGATCGTAGGATCGTAAGATCCAGATCGGGATTCTGATAACCATGGTGCACCTCAAACAAGTTCCTCGGTTGAGGCCACTGTTTGATTGCCTTGACATAGAAATCTGATCCTTGGAAAGTACATATCCAAGGAAATCACCCTATTTGTCATGCACACTTTTTGACCGCCCCAAATAGCTTCTCTTTCTGTAAAAATGTAAGAACCTCCTAACAATGTTGCACATGCAATTCTACAGTGACTATAGATTAGAATATCATTGAAGTACATCAGCCACAAACTTATTGAAAAATGGAGTCAGACCTTGGTTCATCAGTCACATGAAGGTATTCTGCACACTAGACAAGCCAAAAGGCATGACCACCCCACTCATAAAGGATTCCTTGTTTCTATCCATGGATTGAAACACGAGTTAACTTATATTTCTGTATTTTTATAGTATTTATTAGGTCCCGAATATTATAGTTGGTCAAAGTTTCCTAGTTCCCTACTTTGGAGTCTTAGCCCTTGTACAGACAGAAGTAAAAGCCTATAAAAATATATGTAATGGTACAAATTCAATTAAAAGAGCTGGATCTCAAGAATTAGTGACACTTTTTGAAGCTTTGTTTGACAGTCCTTTCAGCCCCAAAACCTTAGTATATTGATTCCTAAATAATGCATCCTCATATATCTATTGACATTTGAATTAGCACTAAAATATCTGAAAAAGGATATATTGTCCCAAGATTTCTAGCTATAGCTAGCCACCATTGTTTGTAAATTAGCCATGTCCACTTTTTCGTAAAAGTCAAATTTCTCAACTTTTTTTTTTTTAACAAGCCTTCGAATCTTTCATCTTAACTTTTGGAACCCTAAACTAGAAGCTTTCGTAAACCTAAATCTACATGAAATCAACCGCAAGGGGCCTTAATATAAATTATAAATTAAAAAAGGTAGGAGATTTGGCTTTATTTACAAGCTTTCTAGCTATAGCTAGCTCTTTGTAAATTAGCCACGACCACCTTTTCGTAAATAAAGCCAAATCTCCCACCTTTCTTTTTTTTTTACAAGCCTTAGATTGTTTCTTCTTAACTTTTGGGACCCTAAACTAGAAGCTTTCATAAACCTAAACCTACATGAAATCAACCACAAGGGGCCTTAATAAATTATAAATTTTCTAAAGCATTCATATGTCAACACTTACTAGGTGGTGTGAGAGGGTAGTTTACAGGGTGGAGGAGAGAATTTGTAGCAAGATATTTATCTTGACAGTGGCCAGATAATACTCCAGAACGTTTCTAATACAACACATTTAAATAAATCATAGAACAAATTTGCTTGTTCTAGAGTCGAAACAATAATAGAACACGTTTAATGCACGCACAAAAAATCAGCATTACATATCAAAATATTTAAATAGAAGTTTCAAGTTTTCCATGTTTGATCATGTGGACAAAAGGCAATTTAAAAGATAACATATTATTTGTATGAGGATTTAATGAAATAATTTTTTTTCAAAAAAGAACTTACAGAGTGTTTCACATCATTCATATTGAGAAAATTATGACTTGAGAGTAAAAGGTCATACCCTTTTGATGAAAAATCTCAAGGTGAGAACAATTGTATCTCTTGAACTGCAAAATGGAGGAAAAGCTCAAATATTACACAATTATGCACAACCAAAATCAAATAAAACACAGGATGGCTTCAAGGAATTCATTGGATAAAATCATTACAAAGCCATCAAAAATAATATAGAAGATACTTGTGCAATTTTAATCAGTTTTGACTTTCCCTAGAAAAGGCTATTTCCCCTAACTGGCTCCCAATAACTGAGGATGCTAGCAGGGTATTGTACTCTTTCGTTCCAAAATGGTAAATTTGGTGATTTGAAGCGATTCCAAAAAAAAAATTCCTAGATATTTCCACAAAAAGAAAAAGAAAAAGAAAAAGAAAAAAATTCAATTATAGTGAACTAAAATCTAAGATGAGTAAAAGTTTTGACATAATCAAATGTAAAAAATAGATCATAATGCTCATATGGAAATGCGTTTCTACCTATGAAGCACGGGTGTGGGTACGGATATTGGTATGGGTACGATACGGATACGGATACGGATACGCCGATACGGCAAGACCTAAAAAATATAAGTTACAGGTACGGCTGGGGTACATCAATAAATTTTTTAATTTTTATTTTTCGTAATTTATAGTTTGAGATTCAATCTACAAATCAAAGTTCAATATCAAAAGTAAAAGGCGAAATTACAAAACCAAAAGAGAAATCATAATTCAACAATACCAATACCAAAGCAAAGTCTATAAGCTATTTTAATGCCATTAAATAGGAGAAATTACAAAATAAAGTTTCATTCCAAAAGCAAACTAAGAGAAATTTGAAAACTTAAAACTTCAGTTTTCACTTCCATCAACTTCATAATTGAATAACACATCTTTCATCTCTAGCACATCAAATAAAAGATTTGCAATTTCAAGTAAATCAAGTCTCTAATAAATTAAACATATTTCCACTTATGAACTTGGTGTACTCTCAATGTACCAATCTCATACCCATGAAGTACTCATGGAGTACCCAACTGTCAAAGAATGAATAAAAAGTACCCGATACGTATTTTGAGTACCCAGTACGCATGCAACCCTATTGGTACCAGTACCCGATACAAGTATGGCAACATTTTCGAAATATCTGTGCTTCATAGGTTTCTACATGATTAATTTGAAAAAACAGTAAAAATACAACTATATTTTATTGGATGCCTATTTGTTAAAAGAAAATTATTCTCGAATACCCCTATCATACCACATTTTAGAGCATGTGCTGTACCACATTCCCGTTCCCGTTCCCGTTCCCGTTCCCGTTCCCGTTCAACATACTAGAATGATCTGCATTCCAGGTAACATAGGTACAAACTTTTACCCTTTCGCATGAATAGTGCAAAGTGGCCACCTAAGATTTGAACTTAGTGGTCCAATTTTTTTTTTCTTTTGATAAGTAAATTTATTAAACTGGCAGTCAAACTTTGACCATAAAACCAACAATAGCCCCTAGTTTTAACCGATAACTCAACCAAAAACTTTCCTACTATGATCACCCAACTTCAGGAACACAAGGCATTCACAAAGGTCCAGAAGTACGTTTTGTAATTATGTTTATGAGATTTGCAAGTTTTCAAAGCTGCAGTAGCAGTATTAATATGGATGCTTGTCCTCACACTTATAACACAATTGATATTAAACCAATTTTTTGCATGAATAGGTGCAGCAAATCTCTCTCTCACATTACACATTTTTGTTTGGCCAACTTCCCAAATTTCTTATAATTTCTGCTGCATTCGTCAAGTAAGCACGTTTATCATTAACAAGGTTCTTAAAAAATGCACTCAACCCCAAAATCATTGCCCAATATAGCAACATTAAGTAGAGATAACATTCCTGATGCAACCATTTAGGAATGAAATTTCTTAGAGAGAGAAAATCTCTAAACTGAGATACAAGAGCTCTAAGCTCAACCATACAATGGCAAAATATGATAAAACTCCATTTCCAAGATACTAACTAACCGTTTATAGGCCAAGAGACCCAACTAACTTTTATGAGGCTAAAATCATAACTACACCACTAATTCTAACAACATCAACTCCTTTCATTTTCTTTACATTTTTCCATTTTTCTTTGTTTCCCCTTTAAAGTTCTGATTTTCTGCACACTCAATGGGGTTTTGTTCCTCAAGAAGTCTACACAATTCAAACTAAGCTATAAGGTAAAAATGTTGGCAGTGGCAAAAAAAAAAAAAAAAAAAAACGGAACATCTTTTAAGGATGAAGTAAGAACTAAGTAATTATCTAAAACTACAAGAAGTAGGTGACTCACTTCCCATTTCACAAGTATGATAAAAGGAACTCTCACACATCAGTATCCTTTTATGCAATAATTTAATTGGGAGTCTTCCCTAATTTTTTTTTTTTTTCTTCACAAGTACGGTATGGGAGTCTTCGCTGAATGCATCATGTTTTAAGCATTAGGAAACTTACCAGCTTTGTAGAGAATTCTGTTGAACTGAATGCGTCATTGTTGAGCTGTTTTCTGCCCGTAAAATATGCTCAACCCCAGAACTAATAATACAAAATTCTGTAGGATGTGCAAAAGGAATAGTGACCTACAAAAACAAAATAAAAAATAAATGAGAAATAAATCAAAAAATAAAATAAAAAACTTAAAACACTTTTTTAAGGCACTATATTGTGAGTATAAATTTGATAAAACCATGATCTTGTGCACAAAAAAAATGTGAACACATTATAATCCAAACCACAAAGAAGTGAAGTGAAATTTGCCACTTCAGGTTGTGGTGAAATTTGCACATGGGTCAAACCACAAGGAATTAAAGTGAAATTTGCCCATATATATAAGTAATATATATATATACACATGTTAATTAATCCCCTCCTAATAATTTGAATACCCAAATTTATAGTTTTTGAATACTCATCTCACAAAACTTAAACACCCAACTCATCAACTTCAAATTTGGCACGCTCATCCTATAATCCATTCACAAAATCTTTAATTCTAAATGTAACACCCACTTGAGAACCTCTACGTACCCCAAAAAAAAGCATCGATAAAATGAAGTATACGGTATATATCTAAAGTTGATGTGGTGTAAGCCATACTAAAATGCATGTAGTCCATACAATTTATTTTTTGAGTACTAAAAAAACTATTTTTAAATTTAAAAAAAAAATATTCCAAATCTCTCAGTAAATGTAAGTTATGTTGAATTAAGACATAGTTAAAACCCCAAGGGGTTGGCCTAGTGGCAAGGCCTTGGGTCTTAGGCGTGTGCTTCCTACAAGGTTCAGGGATCGAAACCTCTTAGGTGCTAACAATTCCTTGGGCCATCGGACTGAGGGAAAACTCTTGAATTAACCACAATGCACTTGCGGGAACTCATTGCCGAGGGCATGTGCACCATTGGGGATTAGTCGGACTTTGATCCGGACACCCGGTGCCAATCCAAAAAAAATTAAGACACAATTAAAATGTACATTTATATATATTTCAATCTCCATCATGATTAGGTATGAGTTGTATGACTTGTCAAGAGCAATTGTAGAACTGTGTCTTTCTTCTTCTCTTTTCCTGTTGAAATGATAGTATCAAAATATTAAAATTCTTCTTTGCTTGTAATTTAAATAAGTTTAAATTAAGATATTTATTAAAAGTAGATGATACATATTGACAAGTATGATACTTTTTGCATAAATTTTAATCAAATTTTTGAATGACTACCTAAACAATTTGGGTTACACATCAAGGAAACACATGTATCGTGTCCAATATGGAATAGAATACATTTGGGGTTTTATTATCATTTTTGAAAGATTTGATGGTCAAAGTATAACTTTTGGAAACAAACAGGGAAAAATTAAAAAGAAAACACACACAAAATACCTAATATGTTTGATCTTCAATGTCTCAAATTTGTGCACTTGAATTCATTTGACACAAGCAGAGATCATATAACCCTGAAAAAATCATTTATTCCTCTCATCTTTCTAGTGTTCTACTATCTGTTCTGTTTCACTTGCGTTGGTTTTGTGGATTTTTTTATGAAAAGTTTTGGTAAATTTAACACCATATTATTAATTCTTTAAAAAAAATATTCAGGATATATGTATTTTTTATGGATGATCTATTCATAATTGAACTTAAATTTTGAGATTTGTGATGTCATGATGTATGATTGATGAAAAAATATTTTAGATGTTAAAGTTGTTCAAATGATAGATTGAATTGCTTTTTCATGTTGGATTTGATTTCGATTTTTTATTACATTAGGATGTTTGTGGATAAAAATTCATAAATATATATATATAATTTTATTTTTATTTTTTTGTCGTATCCCTTTATGTCCATATCTAAATTCTTTTGAAAATTGTCATGCCCGTTGTCCATACTAGTGTCTGTGTTCTTGCTTCTTAGAGCACCATTAAAGTCTAGATGATTGGCATCATTTGAATAAAAGAAACTTGTTAGTACTCATTATATTAGGTTACCTCATGAACCTCACAGTTCTCTCACCCAAAATTCAGTATTTGCAATCGTTATAATTTACCAATTAATAGAAAATCCAAGCAGCCAATCATTGTGAATATGATATTCCTCCATTTTATTTGGTGAAGGTTAATGTGGGTGTTTGGTAAAACTTATTTGCAACTTAAATCAACTTATAGCTTAAAATAAGTCATATTGGAGTGTTTGGTAAAAATTATGAGAGATGGATTATAGTTTAACTTAAGCCATTTCACCCACAATCTGATAAGTTGCCTGGGAGGTATTTTCCAACCTGATTATGTGCACAGCCAATCCTTGAGGCGTGTAATGACTTAAATGCCGCTCAGATATTTCAACTATTACCAAAAAAACCCACTATATAAGCCTTTGTCTAAGCACTGTTCACTTGTGAGAGAAAGACAGAGGCGATTTTCGGCGAGGGCGATTCCCGGCGAGAGCTCTCTCTCTCTCTCTCTCTCACACGCACACACACACACACACACACACACGATTTCCGACAAGAGCTCTCCTCTCTCTCTCCCCTCTCCCTCTCTCTTTCCATCGTGATCTGAAACTAGAAATCAACACTGTTCACTCTCTCTCCGCCGCCTCCCGCACCTGCATCGATGGCTCGCGCATCAACACCGTCACATGAATGCTGCTTCAGACCGGCGGCTAGGGTTTCGCAAACGAGAGCTTCGCGATCGGGATGAAGAGGAGAAGGATATAATGGTTTTGCAAATCGCCAGCTAGGGTTTTACAGCACCAACTGGTCGCCGATTTGAAACGGAGAAGAAGGGGGGCCAGCGGCGTACGGATGGAGGAGACGACGGGGGGCCAGCAACATACAGCTAGGGTTTTGTAATGAATTTTTTTTTGAAAAAATGAAATATCACTAAAAAAAATGATATAAATTGAAAAAAAAATAAAAGGATTTGTCAAATGAAAAAATGAATTACTAAAAATGAAAAAATAAAATATCAATAAAAAAATATTTCAATTAATATTGAAATAAATTGTGTAATTTATATCCATTAAATAAATTACACAATTTATTTTACAATTTAATTGTAATGAAAAAGAATAATAAATTAAAAAAAATAACAATTGTTATATTACTAATTGTAATGAAAAAAATTTAATAAAAACAAAATCACAACTAAAAAAATTTAATATTGTATATTTTTGTAATGAATTAATTATTAATTGATACTAGTTAATAGCAATTGTTGATTATTAATATTATTTCATACTAATAAAAATTAATTATTAATATTAATTGATACTAATTAATAATTTTACTATCAATTTAGACTAATTAAGCCATTAATTGATACTAATTAGTAATTTTAGTATTAATTGATACTGATTAAGCAATTAATTGATACTAATTAATTTATAATGGAAAAAAATTGTTACAATAATACTTCCATTACATTTTTAGTATCAATACTAATTATATTAACTTTTATTAATGAAATAATTTTTTTAAATTAAAATTGAAAAAAATGACAATTATCATTTTTATATCATATAAGGGCAAAAAGGTCAATTATACAGAAAAAGCTATTTTACAGTATATCAACCAAACACTACTTTGCTGCTTAAATTCATAATCTCACAGTTGTACCAAATACATTAACAACTTATGTTCACAGTTATAAGCTATAATATGTTAAGCTATAATCTATAATCACTTTTCCACAGCTCTACCAAACGGGGCCAATGAAAGGTAGAAGAGCAATAGAACATATTGAGTTATATACATGTAACCTATAAATGTAAATGTGTACATAGCATAGGTTCCATTGAAACAATTATTTATTCTTCAGGGTACACCCCTCCATGCCTTATTTCATAGGGAATCTCAACGTGGCTCTACTTTATTATAATCCATGCATTTCCTAATTTCATTCATTCAATATCAAATGCATTACAAACTAACAACATCAAAGTCTAAATGATTGTCGTCACTTGAATAGAAGAAAAAAATGAGTGGGCGATGGAGGCTGATTAGGCTAGTAGAGGGAGCATTCTAGAACGAATGGCAATTGCTAAGATGGCGCTAGGCCCTATGAAGGTGGAGAAGGAGAACCAAAATCTCTATATTAAGGACGTCTAACATGCATGAAGGTGGATCTTGCATATGTTAAAAAATTGATGTGTCATGTCACGTGTCTATGTTCATTCTTCTTAGGATTATACAGGTGAATGGCTCATAGACTTCACTGCTAACATTGATAAACATAAAAGCTGAATTTTGGGCCATATAGGCCTACACCTTACTTGGGAGGGCAGCCACGTATGTGCACTATTGGAAATAGATTAACAGGTTGCATAAAGCCTGATCAACCGTGCTTATCAAATGAACCCGCAGTTCAATCTGCTTCTCCAAATTAAGTCCTCCCATGAAAATGGGATTGTAGAGTGAGCCAACAAAGGAGAGAGGGCAACTCATGCACAGACCAACAATATAAAGAAAGTTTCAGCCTCCCTCTTGGCTTCCATATCCTTCATATTAGATTTTGTCAAACTGCTTCTGGGGACAACTTTGAGAGGGTTTGCACTCTCTCGGACTGTCAGATAATAGTTTCAGGGCTTCCCTCTTTTAGACCAAAGAGAGAAAGAAAAAAAGGTCCAGCGCAGTACTTTTGTTCAGCCACTGTTCTCCCTAATGTGTTCTGATACAACCCCAAACTGATTGCATGAACGTTTCCAAGTTGAAGACTTGGAGCGAGGCTTCTGAGGTAAGGGAAAAGAGCAGGTTTATTACGGCTTGATAAGCTAGAGTTCTATTAACAGAATAGGGGTGGTGAACAAGAACAAGTGAATCGATTTCAATTTTTTTTTCCTTGTTCATGGTGCAAGAGAGCATAAGGAGAATAATCAAACCAGGAATCTCACCTAGAATTCTACAGGAATAATTCATCAATTTCAGTTATGTTATGTCATGCATCAACTAAGCTTAAAAAGTTTCTCACAAGTTCTGAAAAAATGACTCATCAATTGGAAGATATATCAATTGGAAGATGCTAATAGATTTTTCCTACTACTACAACATAAAATTATTAGAAAATATCAATACCGTAACCACTAAAGACATGCTGGACTTAATAAAAAAGCATTAAACAAATAAAAGATAAAGCAAAGAAGGAATCATACACTTGTGGTTGGCGAAAACTTCTCGGTGACTACAACACCACTAGGTCCACTACCTTTGATACTGTAACCTTCCCTCTTGATTGCCAGGGTAGCTGGTTCCCATATATCAAGATATCCAGTCTGCACAATTAACATAAAAACTAAATCATTATATCAAGCAAGTGAAGTTGGAAAACGTGGATTATGGTAGGAAATTAACAAATAAATAGGAAGGACACAAAACTGATTATGGAATTAGTCATACCGACAAGGATACCCTGTAGGAAGCATGCCCATTATAAAGTGTCTTCTCTATGCAGCTAAGCATGTCAGGATCTGTGGCAACAAGGGAAAATGAGAAACATATTTTAATAGTAAAGTACTTGGGATATGTGGGGTTGTCCACGTACAAAGAAAATGATCAAGTACAAAAAGAATAGCAAGGAGTTCTTCGTTATATTTTGATGTCAAAGGGTGATACTCAATGGGATGGCCCCATCAAAATATAACAACCCAAGCACAGGGCAACCCCTTTCCTCCTAGAAAAAAAAAATGGAGAAAAGAAGCATATATGATTGTTTGATTGACTGTACCCAACAGGGATAAAAATCATCAAATTAGGAATGAAATGGAACTTCTAATTATTCTGCTTACTATTTGTACGCTACGTCCAACAACCAAATTCATCCAATCCCCGAATCAATGTTGCACTGGTAACTATAAGTCCAATATAGGCTCAACTTATCAAGCAATATAGCTTACATACAGAAACAATGTCATGGAGCTCTGTAATTCTGACATCTACTCCATATACAAGTTTAAGGTTTGGAATCATCTCCACTTATTATCTTCATTGTGTAGTCTATAGATTTAAGAAAAATGGGTTGGAATCAGGAAATGTAAAAGGAAGCAGGAACAACAATCTTAGACAATACGAAATACAAAGCTGGAATTTAAAATAGAAGTTCCTATCAAAAGGCATCACACATGCCAGCCCAGAGGAAGCAGGCACTACAACCATATATATCCCACATTTTTTTTTTATTTATTTTTTTTTGGGGGGGGGGGGGGTGCAAAGAATACAAGGAAAATAGCAATCCATAACGGCCGCAAAGCTCACTATCTAAGCAAATCCTCCACAAAATGTACAAAAGTCAACACATCGGGATCAACCGAACCCGTCATCCAACTATGCAACAACATAAGAAGCCTACTTTCTAACCAAAGATACAAATGAGATGTGTTCCAAAAAACACGTCGGTTGAGCTCCAACCAAACCAACTACAACAAGCAATGGGAAGCAAGTAACCAAGCCTTCCGCCACCTCTTACCCACCCTTGCCCCGCCCCAACTAAGCAACACATCCAACACTGAACTCGGCTGCACCCAAACCAAACCAAAAAGAGCAACAACCATACACCAAAGCCGAGACACCACAAGACACTGCACAAGTAAATGATCCACCATTTTTGCATCTCCACAACACAAACAACACCAATTGACCAACACATGCCGCTGCCGAATCAAGTAATCAATAGTAAGAACGTGACCCAAAGCAGCAGCCCAGACGAAAAAAGCTACCTTGGAAGGAGATCCCATCGCCCAAATACACTTCCAAGGAAACACGCCACCAGCACCCCTACAAGCACCCCATAAAATGAAGACACGGAGAAAACTCCTTTAGAACTCCAAACATCCCATACCAAAGAATCCACCCCAACCCCCACATTCTACAACCTATACAAAAAGCCCAGAAGATCCACCAATTGGTCTTTCTCCCAATCCTGTACATCACGTCGAAGACAAACGTTCCAAACAACTAATTGCCCTTGCTTCACCCTAACCGAAGCAACCAACTCCTCACCATCAGTGGCAATAGCATGAATCAAAGGGAACATGGCTGCCAAAGACAACCCACCACACCACCAATCCTGCAAAAAACGAACCCTATCGCCTACCCTCACTTTAAACCGAACCCTCTCCCCAAAAACCTCCCTTCCCAACCAAATCCCCTTCCACAACCCACGACCATGAGGTTGAGCCACCGGCTTTGAGCACCACCCCCTCTCCTCCACATACTTCGCCACCACAACCCTTCTCCATAGTCGCTCTCATTCCCCCACGAAATGCCACAACCACTGTCCCAATAGAGCCTGATTAAACACCACCAATTTCCGCACAACCAAACCCCTCCTCTCATTCAAAGTACATACCCTCTACCAAGCCACCAAATGGTAATGAAAACCCTTCCCACCCCTACTCCACAAAAAATCCCGTTGCAACCTCTCCAACCTCTTCGCCACCCCCATAGGCATCACATGTACAGACATAAAGTACGTCGGAATACTTGAGAGAACACTCTTGATCAAAGTAATCCGCCCCCCTTTCGACAAATATTGTCGCTTCCATCCTACCAACCTCCGCTGAACTCTGGCCACCACCCCATCCCACACTCGTCTCCTTAAAGGAAGTCCCAAATAAGAAACTGGCAACCTTGCCACTTTACAGCCTAACACGGCTGCCAACACGGGCAATCGAATCATCTCGCCTACTGGGATCAATTCTAATTTTGCCAAATTAACCTGCAAAGCCGACACCGCCTCAAAACATAACAAAACACATCTCAAATTGCCAACCTGAGTAGCATCACAAAAAATCAATGCATCATCAGCGTAGAAAAGGTGAGAAACCACCAGGGAGGCAGACCCAACCCCCACCTCAAAGCCCGATAAAAAAACCCCTGGATCGCCTTAGAAATCAACCGACTTAACGCCTCCATAACCAGAATAAACAATAAAGGGGACAAAGGGTCTCCCTGCTGTAATCCTCTCCGAGTAGGGAAGAACCCCGCTAGTGTCCCATTAACCAGAATAGACATCTGAACAGTAGAAACAGTGTTGTGAAAAGCGCGCCTAGGCGCGAGGCGAAGCGAAGCGCACTGTTTGCGCCTGGACAGGTCCCAGGCGAGCCGACTTGAGTTAGGCACGCAACTTAGACGCGACTTGAACCAGGCCGCAGAGGCGCAAGGCGCACAACTAGGCGCGCTTGATTTTCTAACAGCTAGATCTGATCTAACGGCTACACTTGAACCCTAATCTATGTCGTCTCTTCCTCTCTCGCCTCGCCTTGGACTTCGACTAGGCTGCCCGACTTCTTCTTCGACTTCGCAGGTATGCTTCGTCGTCATCTTCTTCTTCTTCGCCATCTTCTTCTTCTGGTCTTCTTCTTCTACTTCGACTTCGACTTCTTCGGTTCTGTTTTTTTTTTTGCTCGAGCTCGACTTCGACTTCTTTGCAGTTCTGTTTTTTTTTTGGCTTTGACTCTGACTCTCTCTCTCTCCCTCCTTCTTTTGGCTTTGTTTTGCCCCCCCCTTTTTTTTCAATTATGCCTTTGAGTCCGTTAGAAACAAAAAATAAAAAATACAAATACAAAATAATGAACTAAAAAAAAAAATAGACTAAAAAAAATAGGTTTTGATTCTGATTCTGATTAATTAACTAAAAAAAATACACTTAAAAAAAAATTACAAATAAATAATTATTCACAAATAATTAATTAATACAATGTACTACTAGTCTTTTTTTTTCCTTTATCTGTTAGGAGAAAAAAAAAGATTCTGATTCTGATTAATTAACTAAAAAAAATACACTAAATTTTTTTTTACAAATAATTAATTATTCACAAATAATTAATTTACAAATAATTAATTATTCACAAATATTCACAAAAAAATTTACAAATAATTAATTATTCACAAAATATTAGTATTTGTTGGATATTTATGTTTTGGATGTTTAGTTTTTATGTTTTTGTTTTTGTTTTTATTTTTATTTTATTGAATGTGATTTATTTTATCTTTGAAAATTTGAATGTTATGTGATATGCACTTTCATGACTTTGAGAATTATTTTATATTTTGTCTTGAATCTTGATTACTTTTTATTTTTAAACAAATTGTCTTAGTACTATGAATGATTAGTCTATGTTAATTTTTTTATTTTTTACTAAGACTGTGCGCCTTACTTCAATAAAGTCCGCGCCTCGCCTTGCGCCTAGGCCCCGAAAGACCTTCAGCGCCTTAGTGCGCCTTGAGCTTTTAAAAACACTGAGTAGAAATACAAAATTGTATCCACCTCCTCCACCGCTCCCCAAAACCCAACCGCTCCAACATGTATAGCAAAAACTTCCAGTTTATATTATCATCAGCCTTCTTAATATCCAGCTTACAGATTATCCCCACTGTTCCCTACCGAAGTAGTGAATCCACACACTTATTAGCCATCAGAACAGCATCCAAAATCTGTCGACCGCCCACGAAAGCATTCTGAGATTCTGACACCACTCCCTCTAGCACACCCCTATTAGCCAAAACCTTGGCCAATAATTTGTAAGCACTACCTAGAAAACTAATAGGCCGAAAATCTCGGATATCCTCCGCCCCCCCTTCTTAGAGATCAAAGCTAGAAATGTTGCATTCAAACTCCTCTCAAGCTACCTAGTTTGATGAAGCTGCTCAAACATAGCCAACACCTCCCCTTTCACCACCCCCCCCACAGTGCTGAAAACAAAGCAATGGAGAAACCATCCGAGCCCGGTGCCTTATCCCCAGACATACTCCTCAACGCACCAAATACCTCCTCCTCAGTAAAAGGTCTCTCCAACAATAACCCATCCGTCTCAAAAATAGAGTCAAACACCACACCATCCAACCCCGGCCTCCATATGTCTCCCTCATCACGGAAAAGATGCTAATAAAAGCCCACTATACCGGCCCTAACATCCTCTTCTGACGATAGCAACACCCCATTCCCCCACATTCTCCCTATCTAATTCAGCCGCCGATGAGCATTTGCCATGCGATGGAAAAACTTTGTATTACAATTCCCATCTTTCAACTATAAGCATCAAGATTTCTGCCGAAAACTAATCTCCTCCATCCGAGCATAATCTCCACGAGCCACTTCCTTATTTACCACATCCTCCTCAGAGAGATCCCCTTGAATTTCCTTCTCATCCAACCTCTGTAACACTGACAGAATGTTTGCCTTCTGAACCTCCAAACGACCAAAAACCTCTATATTCCACCTTTTCAAATCAGACTTAAGAAGTTTCAGTTTCTAAGCTAATCTGTAGCTGGGCAATCCTTCCACATTATAACTCCCCCACCAGCCACCCACCTTCTCGACAAAGCCAACTGCTTGTAACCACATGTTCTCAAAACAAAACGGCGAGGGAGCACGCCGAACTCCCCCACTATCCAACAGGACTAGCCAATGATCAGAAGTCGGATGTGGCAGACTGCACTGAAGCATCTGAGAAAAGTGCTCCTCCCAATCCCCAAAAACCTGAAATCTATCCAGCTGAGAACTCGTCCGGCCACCTGACTAGGTATAACCTCCCCCTTGTAATGGCAGATCCACTAACTCCATCTCATCAATAAAAGAAGCAAAATCCCACATAGACCTCCCCACCTAACTCCCACCAGTTCTTTCCATCGAGCTCCTCACAGCATTAAAATCACCCCCAACACACCAAGGCATTCCCTATCTAAATGCAACATGCTATAACTCCTTCCAAAAGACTGCCCTTTCCAACTCCCGAACTGGCCCATCGACCCCAGTGAACACCCACCGAAAATCTTCCTCAAGGCATCGGAACAAACAGGATAGAGAAAAACCCCCTACTTCTTCCTCCTCCTTCATCACCACCCTACTATCCCAACACATGAGAACACCCCCAACCACCCCTATAGCTGGTTGGAACGCCCATTCCACATGCCTCCCACACCATAATTCCCACACAAACTCCGACCCAACAACCTCCATTTTCGTCTCCTAGAGACACACCACATCCGCCCTAGCACTCTTCAATAAAGACTTAACCACCATTCGTTTACCTCGATCATTTAGCCCCCGTACATTCCAAGTCTAAATTTTCTGACACATGGCAACAAAAGTGGACCGCCCCGCTTCTTTCTTAACCGTCAGTCTCCTCTCTTATTTTGATCATAATTTATTGAGCACTCTAATCTCCGCAACTCCTAAACCCCTTTGTCTTTCTAACCAGCAAACTGCACTTCCTGACCACCCACACCTCCCCCTGTCCATGATGCTTCAATAGCTGAAAATAACTTCAGAGCCTCATCCTCATGATCCTCAAAGGATACTCCCAGAAATTTACTAACCTCAGATATACGATTTAGCACCCAGTCGAATACCTCTTCGAAAGAAAGCGGTTGATCCACATTGAAATCTGCACCCAACTCTAGAGCCGCCATCTTCTATCACCACAGATCGAAGCACCAAGGCCAAATGATCACCTGAATTTGCCCATCTCTCTGCCGACGTTGCATCAAACGACCTCTGCTCCCCTGATATAACCAACTCTTCCCCATGAAACTCCTCTCCCATTGGCCGAATTGGCTAAGTGTGCCTCGGATCCTCCATCCGCAATTTTCCCAGACTACGCTCCACATATTCCTTGGACACCAACTGCCTAAGGTCTAGGCTCACCGTCGGCAGACTGGGCTCCTCCAGCGAAGCTCGCGCCACCACTTCGCCTGTCTTCAACCACCTCCATTATCAATTTGGCGACTTGACCCAACTCCGTCTCGCAACGATCCGAAAATCCGAGCAACAGACGGATTAATCTGTTCCTCGATCTCTGTCGTTGGGCTAGCATTGATCCTCCCCTTTGGATATGGGCCTGATCTGGTAGGGCCCAGCCCACCACTCCCATTGCCAAACCTCCTCAAATCATTGGGGCTTAGGCTACCATATTGCTCCTGCGGTCCACCCTCTCATTCAAATTTGGGCCCAACTTGGTCGGGGCCAAACCCACCTTCCTCAAATCATTGTGTCTGCCCCGATAATGCATTTTGACTAAAATTGCACAAGATCACATGTAGCCGTGACTCCAACAATGTGATTTTTATTAGTTCTAACTTTTTCTAGTCATCATCCACAAAGTGATGGGATGAGGTGGTAAACAAAAGTTTAGGGAATTTGCTAAGGTTCTTGATAGGCTGCCGCAATTTTTCAAAGGAACCAGATTGCTTCAATAGGTGATTTTCCTCATAATATGAACAGAGGTGGAATCAGTTTGAAGTGTTTTTTGCACTTAGGTCATGCAATGTCAATCCTACAACACAATATTGTCACCAGTCACTACTAGACCAAGTCAACAAATAAAGCCATCCATGGATATTCATAAAGTCGTGACAAAAATAGTTCTAGCAATGAAGCCTAGAAGTCTAGACCAGATGTGTACTTTGATGAGTGAATCCGAAACGCACAGAAGGCAGCAAGCTACAGACTCGTCTTTTAAGGACAGGTAAGGTTGATAAGAATCAAGCAAAAGTTTACACAATTAGAAATCAAGATAGAGGCCCAAGGGCCGTAATTCTACGCCCAAAGGTCCAAGTCACATGCATCATTGCTCATAGTCTTAGTGCATGGTACAAAAAACAGTACAACAGTCTCAACCAGTGCCCATGGCTACAATCTCCTTTGTGATACTACTTAACGAAGGAACAAATAAGTTTTTTCACTAGAAAGCAAAGCAGTTGCACATACTGGAAGCTCACTAGAAAAAGTAGTTGCAAATGCCAAAAGCACCGCAGTAACTTAGCTAAGTTCCTCTCTGATCTACTAAGCAAACTACTTGAGACAAAAAGTATTTACTTCTCCATTAAGCAACTTCCCCTATCCTAGGATTCTCTAAAAAAATTTAACACTTGGACTTGTATCAACTGGCCATTAAAAGTTAGCTAGGATAATGTAAAAGTAAGAAATGTTCTCAAAACTAATTGGAATAAATAACTCATACTGTTTATCTGCACCGATCAACATTCTGAGTTGGGAGCATTCATCAAAACTGTAAAATCTCAACACGTCTTCAGATCCACAATCTTTTAACAGACATATTGACTTCCACATCCAACTCATACAAACAGTATCCAAACATACAAAACCTTGCTAGCCTGATATTACAACACCGTTGAACCACCAGTAGCCCAAAAAGCTTAAGCTGTTAGAAAATGAGTCCAATATTTTAATCAAGCTAGTAAACAGCCCCCATCACCTGCAATCTTGTCTCACATGTGTCAAGGCATATTGACAAACAGCAATCTGAACTGAACGATGTGCAAAACACACACACAACACATACAAAAAAGAAAAAAAAAACTCCAGTCCTAGAATAGAAAGTCAACACACAAAAAAAATGATCTCACAAGGTCAGATGCACATAAGCAGGAATTCACCTATTAATGAGAACGGGTTTTTTTAGGTGTATGAATTCTCTCACTGACAACAGAAATATTACAATTATAGTCGATGAATGGGTGAATCATTTCCAAGGTACAAGCAGCTTCACAAGATAAATTACAAAGAACATAAATTAAAACCGTACATTTCTCAACTAATTAGCTTACCACAACTGATCTTTCTATGTTCATTGGCGAAGACCTTCACAAGTTCACCCTGGAGATTAAGGGGGAAAAAAAAAAAAGAAACAAGTTGACATCCAGCATACAACCATGCAGCATAATTAGCATACATATCAAAGGAAGTTCCAACCATTAATATAAGTATGCAAGAAGTAAATCTTTGGTCAGCATAAAAATGTCTACCAGCAGTTTCTGAAAGAAAATATAGTCTCATATAACTATTCAGATCACAACATTATTACACGGCTACAGCTTGTAATCATTTTTTCCTCCAAATCTTTTGTGCTAAAAAAAAATTCCCCTAGAACTACCTGACCTTTTAAACTATATGCTGGCCATGACCCACCTCAACTGGTGTCATTAATGCCCAAAAAGAGAGTTGTGTAGTGATGATTTATTAGAAATGCAATGCGCCAACATCCAAACTCAGGCTAGTGGACTACAAGGTCATTGACAAAAGAACTCAAACATAAAATCTGTTGTATGTAAGATCAAGGAGCTTAAGCTAGAGTGGAAACACAATAAACAGATAAATAATAACTAATAACTAATAAAAACAACAGGAAAGAGGAAGAACAGGCAGATCAATTTCCAGCCATCTGTCTCCTTTCTTTTATGAAGGAATAAGAATAAATATAAATGGACACGTGTAAATTATAAAATACAATTTGTTTTTCTTTTCTTATAAGATCATTTAATAAAAAGGTACCTATGGAGGAAATAATCTTGTAACCCAACAAAGAAAGCATTCAAAAGCAAGCTCTTACATCAACCCACAAAACAGCTTATCCAACCCATCAAAGGACATTATTCAAACCATTTTCCCTCCCTGCAAGTTCCATAAAACAGAAAGTGGTACCTTTCCATCCCTTTTCTTCCTTCTAGGGATCTCAGTCCCCTCCCAGATACAAAGTAGATCAGCCACTACTCTATGAAAGACCCAAACAATCCCAACAAAAACAAAAACAAAAACAAAAAAGGATGCCACAATTCTTTAGCCACCCAACAGTTAATGACAAGTTGTCCCAAAGCTCCCCTATCTCCATCCACATACAATACCAATTAGGAAGCACATGCAAGCCTTCAATTTCAAAGAATAAGAATCACACTTAAGCAGCTTGGAAGGAGACCGCACATCACATGTTTCTTTCTAAGGGAACCAAGACGATAGAGAGCCCACCAATAGCATTAAGGACTTGCAAGTTGCAGCAATGTTCTGAAACCCGGACCATTGGTCAAACCAAAAAAGTGACCGGGTCAAGGGTCACTGGTTCAACCGCCAGGACAACCAAAATCGACCCATAACATCATAATTACCTAATAAATATATTAAAAATTATAATTAAATAAATAAAATGTATTAATATACATTCATTTAAAATATTTTTATAAATATTGTTTGTAAAAATGTTAATTATAATGGTGATTGAGAGAAAATGCTTTGAATGCAATAAATAATATATATCTACTATATGTTAACAAGAAATGGTGATGGTTTAGTGTAAGGGAGCAACACGCTCATGCTTGAGTTGCTATGCTTGAACCCATCAGGCTGAGTTTTTCAACACCTAAAAAAGGCATGTTGGTGTCAGTGAAGTCTAGCCGGTACTCTTTAACCAAGGTCAATTCGTCCAGTTGGCCTGTTCAACCATGTGTATCACAAATTAAATTTAAAAAAAAAAGGTCGGTTTTCAAATTAAAACGAATTTGAGGGTGCATCCAGACCGGTTGATGGGTCAACTACCCAAACTAGCCGGTCCGGTTCGGTTTTAAAAACATTGACTTGTAGTAACCCACTTGATAGTCCCTTTCCGTCTCACCAAATTTTCCCTATTCTCTCACGTGGCACCAAATATAAAAGGACCAAAAGCTTGAAGATTGCCTCCACCTCCCAAAACATACTGATAACCTCAAGGTCATGTTTGATTCAACACCATTGAAAGATCAGTGATAATTAACAACTAATGCTTCCTTCTAGAAGGCAAGCTCAAGCAAGCAGGACATTTCCAAAGCATTTATTATGCTAGCATCTCACTATGTCCCTATCTCCTACATCAAAGTGAATGTGTTTAAAAAACTTATTATGCACCACATGAATAATCTTCCTCACAATAATTCCATACGAGGCATTAACCTTCAAAGACATCCAACCACCCACTCCAGCTCTGTGTTGGAGTGTAGTACTTCTAATCCAAATTAAACCACAACTATTCATATTAGGGTTCATGTTCATAAGGGAACTGACAGGGATTTTTACATGTTGGTCGTTAGGCTACCTAGCGCACCACACTCCTCCTTTATCCGGGTTTGGGACCGACTGTATAAAGATTAAACACTAAGCACAAATCTGAACAAATTTCAAATAGAAACCAACAAGGAATAGATATAAATGTCACTAATGCGACATGACCATAGGTATCACCTAGAATCCCATATTCGTCTCACAAATTTCTTGTCCTTCCGAAAATCCCATATTTCTTTTTGAAGGAATATATATATACATATACTGTCAATATCTAGCAACTATTTCCAATAAAAATCCATTTGGAGAAAGTTGTAGACATCTTTTTTCATTTTACCATTTCAACACAGGCATAAAGTTTTAAAGACCACAGCTCCCCAAGATCTAGAGACAAAACAACTATTATTATGTATGTGTTCCATCCATGGGAAAAGTTATAATCCCTCCGTCACAAAATATTAGTCCCTTTTGGGGATTCTTACTTTTTTTGATAGTACAATTATTACACTTCAAAAATATTAACTTTTCAAAACTACCCTTTGGTAGTACATTTTTTTGAGAATATCAATTGTCAAAATTGTACTTTTTGTATTGTTAATGAATTTAAAAGAAGAGCAAAATAGGAAAAATCATGTTATTTTAGTCCTTGATTTTTAAAAACGGACAAATATTTTGGAACAATGAAAAATAGAATAAGTGACTAATATTTTGGGACAGAGGGAGTATGAAGAAGAGAATATTGATAGGACCTAAGAAGAATTGACCCTTCTGTGGAGGTAGTGGGTCGTGTCTGACACAGAAAATCTTTTTAGACTCCTAAAAGTGTGTCTGGCACTTCTTCAATGTGTCATAATTAAAAGTCCAATTCATAATATCGGCCACTTCACTGACACTTCACGGACACTACTTGAACCCTCCAAACATGTCCCATGTTATGAATCCTTTCATAATAATAATGTTCTGCATTCTTCAAAACATAACTTATGCACTGGAAATATTTTTTGAAACATTTATGAGATTAATACACGTGTATTACAATGTTCTATAATTGTTTTTCATTAATTAGAATGTAATTCTCATGTGAATGATATCTTGATGTTTAAATTATGAAATTTAAGTTTTTAATCTAACTTGTGTTATATTACATATTTTTTTATTATCTTTGAATAAATTATGTACATTAATGATATATAACAGATTTGTAAAAACATTAAATTTAACATGTCTCAAATGTGTTGTATCTGCATTCTTTGAAAATCACCATGTCAATGTGTCCGTATCTTGTTCGTGTCATGTCGGATGTCGGTATGTATGCTACTTGGGACAAGGCCATGGTTCAAAAAATTGGCAAGTTCATATCGAATTTTAAACCTTCCAGTTCAGATACACCCCATTTTACCATAAGGATAAAAAATCACATATGAACTACCCGATTTGTATCACTCAAAATCCCTGATACCATTACATTGTGACCTCCCGACACTGTTATTTAAAGCCATGGACAGAACAAAACAAATGACAACTTCAGGAGCTTTCTTGACATAGATTATAAAAAATAAAAATAAAAATAAAAAGTGTATTTCTCAAAACTTCAGCTAGCAAAGGTGGAAGACATGGCGCTTGACAGTATCAAATTTTTTAGTTATAAACCATGCTTGCTTTCATAACAAATCATTCAACACACGTTCCACATGTAATGCACGGAGATATCTGATATATACAAATACTATCATTTATATGCAAATAAATTGTAATCCATCCACAAATACTATCGCTGATTTTGCTTCATAAAATAAAGATTGAGCAAAATATAAAGCAAACATATACATAAAAAGTGCTATTTGATAGTTGTAAACCGAAAATAAAGTTCCCTAATTCAACTTTTCCTATCACTAATACATAAAGATTATTAGAATGAACAAAAGAAAATACTGAACAAGAACGGCTTCCTTATTTTATTTGTTTTAATTTATAAAGCAATATTATTTAAAAGAGCATCAAGCCGATGCAAAACAAATACAAATAAAAGCTATAAACAGCCAAGCACCACCATGAAGAGAATCCAAAAAATCCAAAAAAAGAGCATAAATGCAACTCCACTTGCCCCGACACTATACTATACAAAACGCCCAGCAAGCTTTGTTTCGAACAAGACACCGGCTCATCCAACCCTGAAAAATCTGCCTATTGCGTTCCAACCAAATAGGCCACATCAAACACAAGGGCGCAAGGTCCCAGGCCTTCCAATGATGCTTCCCCACCCTAGCCCCCCTCCAACTCCAAAGGACACCCACAACGTCCCTAGGTTGCACCCACTCCAAGCCAAAGACTGCAAAAATCAACCCCCACAGCTGATAAGCTACAGAGCAATAAATGAGAAGGTGAGAAACTGATTCCACACTGCCCCGGCACATACAACACCAATTCACCAAGATATGGCGGTGGCAGATAAGATTATCAATCGTCAAAATCTGGTCCAACGCCGCCGGCCACACTAAGAAAATTGCTTCCTTATTTTGCAAAACAGATAATGATGACTTGCAAGTATGCTTAAGAAGTGAATCACAATTATTATTTTGTAAAGGAACACGAAGCATTCTGAACTGTCACTCCCTAAAGTCACATGAATCTGCGTAAAACCAGATCCTTGCCCACCCACAGGAGGGAAGCCTTAACTTTGAAAGTAAGATAATAAGATCAATTTTCCATTCACTAATTCGCTTCTTCCAAGCATTTACACAAATGAAGGCTCAATATCGATTCAGTGAAAGCGAGTCGGCAGTGAGGAGTGAGTGAATTTTATGTAAAGTCATGAAAAAAATAAAAAGCAAAAGCAAATCTGGACTGTTGCAATGCTGCTTGTCACAAATTTTCACATCGTCAAGATGATAGCTTAAGTTACATCTGCCTTTATTGACCTTTTTCAGAAAGAAAAGCAGGGGCAATTCATGGGCATGAAATAGTGAAGAAACTGAAGGGTAGGAAGTGCTAACAGAATGGGAGGTCATGATTAAGGTATTTTAACATTAAATATGCACATCACCATTGGTTGCATATGGTACTAGTAGATGAAAATAGATCAACTCTGTTTCTGCCACACCGTTTGACAAGACTGATAAAAGGGAACACGAAGAAAGAAATACATTTATTAGGCATCAACCAGCATTACCAAAGACTCCAAGCTATGCATGGTGAAAAAAATATATATATTAATTCTATAGCCAATTCAGCATTTGGTGTTTGAGCACACCTTAAACTTTTGGGAACCCCAAAAGCAAAAAACAGAAAGAAAAAAAAACACACATCACAGAACACGTGCACATACATAAGATGCTGCATGCTAGCGTATACTTAGTACCTATTACCATACATTACCAAGGATTGGCTATTCCACTTCTTTAATAAAGCAGAGAATACCTTGCGTTTCCTGTCATCCAGAGGCTGGACTTCAATAGCAAGATATGTATCAACATCATCAGCAGTAACAAGGTAGTTAGGTTGCTTTGCCCCTGTTAACAAAAACTTCATATCTAAATATTTAAAAACACAAATAATGAAACCACTTAAACAAGATATGAAAGTAAGGAAGAATACCCTCTATATAGTTAAAAGATCCATCTTCCAGATGGCGAACCCACTGCAGGTGCAGAAGACAGTGAAAATTAGCATTGAGTTATACTGAAACTCTAACAGAAATTGCATAGTAGTATGCAATTTGAGGCACATCTAAGTAAGATTAATAACCAAAAGTAAGATCATTAGTAATAATAAAGAAGGAAATTAGAAGCACCTCAAAATTACAACTGGTTGTTCCGTTAATAGAGAATCCACTTGCTTGGAGATCATGTCCAGGACAAGCATCACCTGAAATTTGAAGGCCCTCTATAGCAGGTAGTGGATCGTCATCTCCAGCTGGATATTGGTGACAACCAATACCCACTGCTTCAAACTAATCAACAATAAGCTGAAAAAGAACTAAATATTATCACCTTCAGAGAAAGATGAAGAAGGTTCTTCAAGAACTGGTGCTAAATAAGGAGAATATGAGGAGGTGGGATCATCAAGCGAGGTTGAAAAAGGAGAGTTTTTGGAACCCCAGTTAGAAGGGTCTCTCTCATTTTGTTGTCCCTCAGCATCAAGCTCATCCATTTCAGTGCTGCTAACAGTGTCACTAAATGTCACCTGTTTAGTGGCGGTTTCTTCACCATAACGTGTAGGATGTGAATCACCCTGGCTAACAGAAAGCTGTGCTCGTACATCTTGGGATGCAGTATGCCTAAGGTACACAACCAATAAGTGCATCAACAAGTACAATTTTAAAAATTAAATCTTCAAGCCATCAAACGTTATATAAGATTGCAAATTATCAAAAACAAACTCTGCACAGAATCCCATTGGTGCAAGTAAATTCTATTCCAACAATGAATGAAAGGAATGGTATTTCGCGACAGAGGGAGAGGCAAGACGTGTATTTATTACCATATCAAATGCAAGCCATGCATACTGTCGTGCCAGCATTTAAGTGTGGATTCCAAATTTCGAACTAATGGCAAACATGACAACAAGCTGCAGTGGATGCCTATTGGGCATGCCAGGTTGCTTTATATGTTCTATGGAAAAAATACATATGACTTTGTGGACAGTGGCTGGTGAGTGGGATAGATGTGAAGCACTTTGAGAAGTTATGATAGACACTGACATCAATGTTCTGAAAAGCGGACCTGATCAGCCGGTTCATTCGGTTGACCTGCTGACCAGTCCTATTTCCGGCCCCCACAAACCACCAAACCCATGCAGTATATAAAACCTAACTATTTTGGTAAAACTGCATAAAACCAGAAACCCATTCAAACTGGACCCAATTCATTACAACCATCTGATTCAATCCCTAGCAGTTCTTTAGTTGATCAATCCTAACTACCAATGGAATGGTCCCTCTCAAATGATGATAACCTACAGATTCATGGGGCTACAAGTCTTCAACTCTTCTGCAGATTCATTCATAGGGCTTCAAATCTTTAACTCTTCTGCAAATTTAGATCTGGAGAATGAAGACCGATGGAGTGATGTCTATATCCTTCACTCTCTTCTCAAAAAAAAAAAAAAAATTCCTCTGCGTGTACTTTATAAATCTAGAGAAAGGAAGTAATCAGATATATAATATAATATAGAGAGAGGCAGAACAAAAAGCCAAAAACTCAAGTCTTTTAAATGAGGTGGAATGAATTGTATGCTAGTTGATTCCCCGGAGCGACATAAATGAGAACAAAGCCAGAGAGAGAGTCTTTACAAACAAACAAACAAACAAAAAGAAGTTATACATGTGCCTTGAGACTAGTGGATGTCTGCATTTCTGATTTGGGGATGGGATGGCAGAGGCTAGACAAATATTGACCCGTAACCCTTGACCGGTCCCTTTTCCAGTTTGCTCAACAGTCTGGATTTCAGAACATTGGCCAACATGGTGTGAAACCATCTGGGTGGAAGGGATGAGAGTAGAGCAGTCTTAGATGGAGAGAGTAACAGTGAAGAATCAGAGTCTCTAAGCTTGCTGGAGGGGAGAGTTGTGTCCTCTCATACATGGAGATGATGCCCTCATATTATAGGAGGTTTAAACCTTAAAGACCAGCGCACTTGAGTGCAAAGTCCCATGCGCTCGAGTGGAGACAGGGCAGGGGGCCACCTTCCTTGGCCTGACAACTTGAAGGTGGTGTGCTCAAGGGCGGAGGTACATCAAGGCAAGTGGGGGCAATTGCCCCTACTGACTTTTGGAAATTGCATTTTCGTACATAGTTTTAAATTATTTACATAATGTCCCCAAAGAAATTATGAAATTGCCCACATTGAATAACTATGGTTTGAAAATACTTTTAAATTGTGCCCCTATTTTTTATAAATTATTTTTACCCTTGTAATATTTACTTGTGCCTCTTGCAAATTCGTTTAATTTTATTTCCCCTTACATGTTTATTACCTCTCACAAATTGTGATTTGCATTGTTCCTCTCTTCAACAATAAAGTTCTCTCTTTCACAGCAATAACAAACTTCTTGGCATTGAATGCAATTTCGCGTTCAAGTCTTCGACCAGCAATAACTCTAGTTTTTTGTATGCATTTTTTCATAGCATTCAACTTTACTGCCAACAAACAAATTCCATGTATGGCTCTAAATAAGATTTTTTCCCCCACTAGAAAGAAAGTAAAAAAATTGACTGTGTCGCTAGGTGTGCTCTTTAGGTACGAAACACCACATCTCTCTATCGTGGTCTAGATTTGTCTTCTTGAAGAGATCTCTCTTTCAAAGACTGATGTACAAGTCCATTGAGAGAGATTATACAATGAAACCTTGATAAACCCTCCTACTTTAGCCATCAAACCACGAGACCCCACTGATGTCGTGTGATAGTTATGGGGTCGCTCAAGCACCCCATGACTACACCAATCTTAAGGGCAATCCAAAGGCTCTGCTCCCAACATAGCTTCATGTGAGAGCATCAGAGTGCCTTTTGATTTTAATGGAGACAACTCTAAAGGTGAGGGACTGATGCATACGAGGGACACGTTCAAATGTGGAGTTGCTCGACCGACTAGAGGTACCAAGCATGTCAATAGAAGTTGAGAAGGTGACGACCTCAACTCTAGGAACTTAGGCTCGAGTCTAAGACACCGTGTATGTTAGTCTAGGCTGGACTCAACTCTAGAGGGGAACTGTTAAGTTATGGGTCGAGGTTATTTTTGTATTTAGCTACTTATTAGCAAGGAAAGATCCAGGGTTCGAACTTTGGGGGTGCAAAAACACATGTAACTTTTCATGGAAAAAAGTTATTACAAAATTTTAAATTTTGATTTTTACCTGCACAAAAATGTGAATAATATTGCTATTAATCGGGCATTCTTTGTCAACATAATTGAGAACAAAAATATGATCGAACATTTTTTTTTTTCTGCATTAACCTAACAAAACTAGTAACTATTATCATATGTCCCCATCTACTAAAGTTAACTATTATTATTATAATATATATATATATATATATATATAAACATTTCTGATAAGCTCAACATCAGAACCTCAATTAATATTTTTCTCAGTAACTGTGATCAAGTTAATTGTTACAAAATCATCTCCATCCAATTACGTAGTTTAGTTTTGAAAATGTTCATAGTTAAATGTATTTTTTATGAATAAAATAATAATTCGTTCCAATAAACAATATTAAATTTTATGAACTCAATTTTAAGAATGCCATGTTGAACGTACATAATACTTTCATTTCCAAACAATATTTTTGTTTCTAGAGAATGAGCAAACAAGAATGAATGCAAAAGTACATAAGCAAATTAAACTGTGAATTAAAGAAGGGGAAAAAAAAAAGGTAAATACAAACAAAAAAACAAGAATAGTAACAAATAAGAACAAATACAAGAATACAAGAAACTCTAAACAATACAAGAATACAACTAATCAGATAGATAACAAACAGAAGGGACCAATATTTGATAAAACTCGACTTAGAACTATTTTTAAAATTTTGTAATGTAAAAATTTTGGGGGGTGCGAATCTTTATAATTTTGAAGATGCGAACTACTGAAATTTTGAGGTGCGAAGTACTCTAATTTGAAATTATCTTACTAATTACTAGTATAATATAGAGTGATCAAAAATTTTGGGGGTGCGACCTTGCTTATTAGTATAAATACATGTGAGGGGGAAACCCTAAATTTTGAGTGTGCCTCTTTTCCTACGAGTTACTTTCTTTTGTCTTCTTTTCTTCCTCTCGACTTTTATTGCTCACCATACAATTCTAACTTTCTATTAGAGCCAAGAACAATCTTGTTTCCTATTCTTTTTTCTTTTTATGCTCTTAATCAAATTTTATTTTATATTTTTTGATTTCGTCCCATATATAAAAATAAATAAATAAAACTACCAATATGATTAACTAGGGTAGGGATCCTTCCAAAAAATTTCTCAAAATTTTGTGTTTTCAATGTCCACTTTTCCATTTTTCTTTTACTTTTAGGAGAAGAGGGGCCTTTTCCAGATTTATGGATCCCACTAGTTCGATTCAAGGCTTGGATCATGGTCCATATACACAGACCAGTGGTGCTTTGCCTTTCCTTGGCTTCACTTTTTGACTCTGCTTTATTGGTTTTGTGGCCTAACAATGGTGCGGGTGTTACCAAATACAATGATTTCTTTTCATTCTTCATAATTTTGACTCTTCTAGGGTGGTGCTTTTGATGCTCTACTTTTGTGTATATTGGAAACTTTACTTCTTTCATGATGATTCCTTCTATTTGTTGAGTTAGTAGGCTCTCAGACTAGTTCTTAGTTGTGGTAGTGTGATCTTTGTTCATAGCGAATGATGGTAAGAACCCATCAACAACGAGCCAAAGGAGTTGAGTCATAGTGAGACTATTGGAGATAACTTGTCTCTTCAAATTACTTCTATTAAGTTGGATGGAACAAATTATCTTGTATGGTCGTGTTCCTTTCCTTTGCCTATTGCTGCTCGTATGGTTAGATATTAGGAGCTACTAAGGATCCAAAGGAGGATGGACCAACACATGAAAAATGGCATAAGAAGAATGCTCTTTGCATCACTTGATTGATAGATTCTATACATCCCAGTAGTGGTCGCACATTAGTGTTGATAGATACTGCTCATGAGAATTGTATTGCAACAGCTCAGAATTATTCCCAAAGACGTAATGACACACAGGCTTACAAATTGTAGATCAAGATTCAGGGGTCTGGTCATAAGGTTATGAAAAAATATATGTATTATTGATTGATATTTTGATGTTTTGATTGATTGTTATAGATTGATCTATTGATACATATCCTGTCTATTACAAATGGTTCCTTATATAGATGTAGGTGTAGTGGATGGTGTGTAGTGGATGGTGATAGTGGTGTAGTGGGTTAGGTTTAGTGGAGTAGGTGAGGTGGTAGTGGTGGTAGGTGATGATAAATTCTAACAGCCCCCCGCAAACTCAAGGAGGATAGAAACGAACCAACTTGAGTTTGAAGAGAGGAACAAAACAAGAAAATACATAAAAAATAATAATAATAATAATAATAATAATAATAATAATAATAATAATAATAATAATAATAATAATAATAATAATAATAATAATAATAATAATAATAATAATAATAATAATAATAATAATAATAATAATAATAATAATAATAATAATAATAATAATAATAATAATAATAATAATAATAATAATAATAATAATAATAATAATAATAATAATAATAATAATAATAATAATAATAATAATAATAATAATAATAATAATAATAATAATAATAATAATAATAATAATAATAATAATAATAATAATAATAATAATAATAATAATAATAATAATAATAATAATAATAATAATAATAATAATAATAATAATAATAATAATAATAATAATAATAATAATAATAATAATAATAATAATAATAATAATAATAATAATAATAATAATAATAATAATAATAATAATAATAATAATAATAATAATAATAATAATAATAATAATAATAATAATAATAATAATAATAATAATAATAATAATAATAATAATAATAATAATAATAATAATAATAATAATAATAATAATAATAATAATAATAATAATAATAATAATAATAATAATAATAATAATAATAATAATAATAATAATAATAATAATAATAATAATAATAATAATAATAATAATAATAATAATAATAATAATAATAATAATAATAATAATAATAATAATAATAATAATAATAATAATAATAATAATAATAATAATAATAATAATAATAATAATAATAATAATAATAATAATAATAATAATAATAATAATAATAATAATAATAATAATAATAATAATAATAATAATAATAATAATAATAATAATAATAATAATAATAATAATAATAATAATAATAATAATAATAATAATAATAATAATAATAATAATAATAATAATAATAATAATAATAATAATAATAATAATAATAATAATAATAATAATAATAATAATAATAATAATAATAATAATAATAATAATAATAATAATAATAATAATAATAATAATAATAATAATAATAATAATAATAATAATAATAATAATAATAATAATAATAATAATAATAATAATAATAATAATAATAATAATAATAATAATAATAATAATAATAATAATAATAATAATAATAATAATAATAATAATAATAATAATAATAATAATAATAATAATAATAATAATAATAATAATAATAATAATAATAATAATAATAATAATAATAATAATAATAATAATAATAATAATAATAATAATAATAATAATAATAATAATAATAATAATAATAATAATAATAATAATAATAATAATAATAATAATAATAATAATAATAATAATAATAATAATAATAATAATAATAATAATAATAATAATAATAATAATAATAATAATAATAATAATAATAATAATAATAATAATAATAATAATAATAATAATAATAATAATAATAATATGTTTAAAAAGTGAGGCGGTGGAAAATGTGATGATGATTTTGGGTGTGAGTAAAATATTTGATGTGTCTATGGAGGTGGAGTACCCACCACGTGAAATATCTTGAGGCATGTGGGGTGATTATTAGAGAGAGAGAAAAGTAAAGAAATAAATAATAACGTAATGGAAAACAAAGGATGGAGTGGGGAGAGCACCAACTAAGTTTTATAATAAAAAAAAAAATAAAATTGGGCGGTGGATGGGTCAGAGAGAGAGTAAAGGGCATTGGGTAGTGGGATTGTTGTTGGAGAGATAACTGTAATGGATGCAGAGTCCTTCGCAAAGGCTGCAGCGATAACTGCACCATACGACCCTGCCTATTGTGGATCAAAACCCCTGAATCCCAAGCCAACGCCACCGTCTTCCTCGCCAAGTTCTACGGCCGTGCCGGCCTCCAAAACCTCATCAATGCTGGCCCCGATCACCTCCGTCCCGCGATTTTTTGGATCATTACTCTATGAAGCATGTGGGCGTATCGTGAACCCGATCTACGGCGCGGCTGGCTTGCTCTGGTCCGGAAACTGGCACCTCTGCCACGCCGCTGTCGAAGCCGTTCTACACGGCTCGCCGATCGTGCAACTCTCTCCGGACTCCGAATTGAGCACCATGAGTCCTCCTCTCAAGGCCTGCGATATCCGACACGTGTCCAAAGATGAGAGCTCGGCTGCTTCTCGTGATCTGCACAAGGTGAAGTGTCGGAGCCAGTTCAAGCGCGCTGCTGGGAAGCCGAAGGTGGAAGTGGACTAGAAGACGACAAAGCAATGATGGCTGTTGGCTTCTTCCCTTCCCCGAGTCGCTCTAGCAACTTGAATTCCTGGAACCCACCTTCAGACAGTCATGGTCTGAGAGAGTCGAGAAGTAAGAGAGAGGAAGATGAAGTTTCAGTCTGGGTATGTGTAGAGGTCCGGCGGGCGGCCAAGGCGAGGCTACCGCCCGCCGGGAAAGCAGAATGACCAGGTTCTTAACCTTGCTCTGATACCATGAAAAAATATATGTATTATTGATTGATATTTTGATGTTTTGATTGATTGTTATAGATTGATCTATTGATACATATCCTGTCTATTACAAATGGTTCCTTATATAGATGTAGGTGTAGTGGATGGTGTGTAGTGGATGGTGATAGTGGTGTAGTGGGTTAGGTTTAGTGGAGTAGGTGAGGTGGTAGTGGTGTAGTGGGTTAGGTTTAGTGGAGTAGGTGAGGTGGTAGTGGTGGTAGGTGATGGTAAATTCTAACAGGTTAGATCTCTTATGTTGATTTGACACTACATTGATTTGAATAGTTTATGATAGGAATTTGATTATCACAACTTCCAAGTTGTTCCCAAGATGCAAGTACCTTTCAACATATGGTAGACAAAAAGAGGGTCTATGACTTTCTTTTGGCCTCAACACAGAGATCAGATTCGTGTTCAGGTTCTTGATCGGCATGTGTTTCCCACCATGCCCAAGGCATATGCTTGTGTTCAATAAGAATACAGCAGGCGTAGTGCTATGGTTCATAATTCTATTTAGGATCACTCTGCTTTAGTTGTTACTTCTACTTCGAAGAATGGAAAATTTAGCCAATCCAAGTCTGGGGGTAAAGGTAACACTAGGGACTGCAATTACATGTGATTATTGTGAGTAAGAACGGCAAGATCGGAAGCATTGTTGAAATTTACATGGCCGCCCAAATTAAGGGCAAGGTGGTGGCAATGTTCGTTCTCATGCCAATATGTTGGGAGTCTTCAGAGAGCACCTCGGGTGATAGTCCTACTCTTTCCCAATATGAGTTACACACTCCCAGACGTCTAATGACTCAGCTTCGTACTTCTACTATTGCTTCTGATCCTAGTTTCTCTTCCAGCTTTGTTTACACAGGTATTTCTACAAGTGCCCTAACTGCCCTCTTCTATATAGACCAAGGACATTGTTACCCGGAAACGCTAATACCCTAGCAATTTACGTTTTTGGAACACCCGTTCTGAAACATGGTACCCTTCTCATTTCAAAAAGAAGAATTTAGCAATCTAAAGAGATTCCAAAAAATTTCATATATATTTTCTTAAAGGGTCTTGTTAATGTGTGACCCTTAACGCACAAGAACAAAACCTTTTAAGATTCTTAACAAGTGACCTAAGAGTACATATTAACAAAATTCTTTCTTAAAAGTTTCCGGTAGGAGGAAAAAATCAAACATAGTTCCTCATACCAAAACGATTCATCTTCCAAACATAATGAGTTCGATGAAAACCCTAGTAAGTCTCGCAAAATGATAATTCTAATAGCAATTTTTAAATTAAAACGAAATATTACAATAAATATTAATGTCTTAATTCCTAACCCAACTCAACTTGAAGTTAAAATTTAGAAATAACTAAATTATAAGGTTATTCAGGCTCACCATGGCATTGCATGGCAAGAACCTTCGCGTGTTTATTATTTATTATGGCTCATCTATACATGCATGTTTGGACAATAATTCACTCACAGATGACCAATCAAAACGACAATTCAATAAAACAGAATCCACTAACAAAAGTCGCCAGTTGTAATTGTACATTCAGTTCATAGTAGCAGTCTCCATTGACCAGGCTGACCTGCTTGAATGAGGTGAATACCTCACAATGTCGTCAGGCTCCAGATTTTTTGCAACCCCATCACCTAAACCACTCTGATGATGTCCCAACATATCCCAATCTGCAGTTGTCTGAGGGTCAGAAGAAGTAATTGGTACATTTCCATAAGAATAAGCTGGCCGAGGCACCAGTTCAAGCACATTTTTGTTCTACAAAGGAACGAAAAAAAAATCAGGAACTCATTATAATAATTTGGGAACAGTTTCAGTGAGATATACAAGCATACTGATGCTACACCAACGGGGTGAGATGGTGATTGTGGAGGAAAATTTGAGTTCACATCAGAACGCCAGGGTGCCAATTGATAATGAGACTCCTTCAGCTTTGCCTGGCCATCAGAATACCATCGTGCACAGAGTCAGCAATTAATTACTGTGAAAAAAATAACAATAAAAATAAAAATTGATCCTCATGGACATCCCAAATTGACAAAAGCAGTGTTAAATCTGCTAGTAATTTCAGATCAAACCAACATATGCAGCAAGTTCATATGGCTCTCAAATCTATGCAGCATACCTCAGTAATACTGAGCTTCTCCTGCAAATGTTTAAGCAGAACCTGCAACAATGAAGTTTCCGGAAGTAAATATCACAATACAATTCAAAGAAAAGAAAAACTTCAATTGCAATACTCAAAACATAGAAATTTTTATTTCACTTAAAAGTGACCAAAAAACACATCAGCCAAAAATGAAAAGTACATATAAAGATAAATCAAGCCTATTTATTGCCAACACCACACCATCAAATACGCACCCATTACTCTCCCTCCAAATACAACACATCAAACATCAAATGAGCCACTTCCCAGACCTTTCTCCTCTTCGAATTACATACTCCTGCCCAAAGTCGTAAAACTGGATCACTGTTTCTGAATACCCAATAAACATCAAAAATAGAAACAAACAAGCTCAACACACTTACAAAATCACAACAAAGTAATAAGTGATCCGCCATCTCCTCTCCCCTCCTACAAATGCAGCAGTAGTCCAGGAGCATCTTGCCCCTCTACCCTAAATTTACTAGTAAGAATGTAGTCCAAAGCAATAGTCCAAACAAAGAAAGCAACCTTGGATAGAACCCCAATACTCCAAAGGCTTCTCCAAGCAAATGTCTACCGACTCCTCCCCCAATAAGCAAATAGAATGATTTAACCAAGAAATCGTGACAATTAACTTTTCACAGCAACCTATTCTGACCATTTCAAGCAATCCCCACCCATTAAACAGCTCAAAATGGTCCTACACAGATTCAAAATTCCAATCTTGCACAGCATGAATAAAAAGAGCCTCCCAATTTACCTATAAATACCTGATCCTCCCATAATCCAATAGCTAACATTTATATCAACTAAAAGAATATAAATTCAGAAGCCCCTCAGATAATGGAATCTCCCAACACCACACATCAGGCCAAAATTTAACACATCAACCATTCAGTATCACAAACCTCAGATGCTGGAAAAATTCCAGCCACCCTTTTCTAATCCCTTTCCATGAACTAAACCCATACAATCCCCTGATTTCATTAGAAGCCAGCCTCGAACAATCGAGCCAAATTTACAATACACCATCCTCTTCTGAAAATAACCTTCCTGAAAAGTGTATCTCTATAGCCACTTTCCACAACAAACCTTGATTGACCAGTCTGAAATGATGAATACCCCAGACATCTCTCAAAGAGTAACATACAGAATCCCATGAACAAAATGATATTTAAACTCCTTTCCAAGCCAGCCTCAGAAAACATTCATTGAGGGTGCCCTTAATTAGGAATAAAGTAGGAATAGAGAAAAGATAAATAAAATATGATGCCAAGCAAAAGAGGGTGCCCTTAATTAGAGTTCAGTCAGCCTCCTTTACAAAGATGTTTCCATCTCCAAACCACTAATCTTCTTTCAAATTACTCTACAAAAGAATCCTAGTCTGAGGTAACTTTGAAAGAAAAACCCAGATGAATGCCCAAATAGTTTGTCCCTCCATTAAATTTACATCTTCTGTTCTTATAGCATACATCACCAATTCAATGACCATGAGCCCCACAACAATCAAGAGACATTCTTGGTCCAAAAGTGTCTACAATAGTGACTGACGCCATAACTCATGTTAGTATAAAATAATTAATTGGTTTGTTTTATGTACGCTTTTATAATACAAAAGATGTGGTATTTTGATAGTTTCAGGATTTTTGAGCGATGATCTCTAATGATGATAAATGGGTCTTCATTTTGGTCAAATTAAGATCTTAAAGTTCCAAGTTATGAGTTTGTCAAGTAGAATTCAGAGAAAGGTGAAGCGCCATATAAATAGCTAATTCTTCAATTTCTCTTTCCAAAAACTAATTTATTAACCATAACCCCTTACTACCTTTTTGACCTGATGGTAGAACCCTAAAATAATTGTTGTCTAGATTTCCATTTCATGCAATTAGTGATCAATAGCAAATCCAACCACCTATCACATTTAATAGCATGCCTGCTATGACCATTTGTTGCTTATACCTAGACCCTAATCCTAGAAGTTTATAACTTTGGCCCACCAAATAATTGTCACATTCAATAGACATCAGCATTTCAAGTTACAGTGTTTTCTACATTAGTTTGGCACCAAACTCAAAAAACCCACTTCCAGATCATTTAGGGAGTGTTTGGTATAAGAGGATAAACTAGCGATAAAAAGGATACACAATATTTGACACTCAATTGTTTTCCTTTCCTTCCAAATTCGTCACTTGTCGACAAATTCACATTTTGTATATATCCCTTGTTTAATCCTCTTCAACTTCCTTTATCTTACCATTCCTGTTACAAGAACTGTCTAGTTATTCCATAGTCATTTTTCAGTTGGAATTTCACTTCAAAATTAAGTCTGTAATTAAATTTGTTTTTTAGGCTTAGCTGGATCTTGAGCATGTTCTGAAGTGAAGCATCATCGAGCCAACTTCAGTTTCAGACCTTGATTCTTCAAACAGGCTTTGCATTGTAGAAAGGTAAAACTCATGCATTGCACTAGTATCATTTAGAAGATTCATCTTTGTTCGCCTTTTGAGATTTTGACTATAGGCCCGATTAGCTTTTGGGATTGACCATTAGATCCCATACACTTGATTATTGGGCAATGAACATCTGGATATTTACATTTCATTAGTATCTTCAAATAGATGTGTGTGTTTGAACACACTAAACCACTCAAGTTACTTCCAAAACATGGACCATTAGAACGCAAAAGCTAATTGTTCAAATGCCTCCTTTTCATGCACAGTGCAATTACAGTTCGAACAAGAAGTGGTACATTTGAATGTTGTGCCGTGTTTTCCTTCAGGATGCGTGTCTAAAACAAAATCCTTGTTGGTTCTTCTTTCCTTGTTTCCCTAGGCTTTCCCTTTCATGTAAATACATACCTTAGCTTACTTGTTAAGGTGATGGGCGATGACAAAGAAAGATTGAATCTAGGAAAAACATTACAAAGTTTCATACAATCCATATTGTTCTCATGTGTGCAGAGGGATAACAAAGATTCGGTTGATCTTTGCAGTTTCTAGATCATGTGGTTGTGGTAATTGTATTCATATTGATTTAGGGTTGCACAATCATTACAGGGGATTTCCAAAGTATTCTCTATAGATCGGATGGCTAGAGAACTAGATTGTAATTGTATGGTCGACAAATCCTCTAGTAACGTTACTTGCTAACTTAAGTGGGGAAGTTAGAAAAATGTAACATACAAAAATGCTGAGTCAAACATAAACAATTTGTCTGCATATAAACGACAAAATGCAAACATTCAGACATAATTTGTTGAACGAATACACGTTTGAATATAAGTTGCCACACAAAAATCAAATATTTGGATAAATACAGCCTTATAAATATTTTTTTCCGGCAGTAGAATTTCATACAAATTTCATAAATACAGACGAACAAGAAGGCAAAAGCTGAAGAAAAAACTTATCTTCTCGATCATAAACGTCCTAGGAACGTCTATGTCATTGACCATTGCTGACTTCAGTAAGTTAGAGAGTGTGAGAAAGATGGAATGAAGGAAGTAGGATTGAGTATGAAGATGCAAGGTGAGTATCTAAGAGATTGAGAGAATAAGAGGAGAGAGAAGCGAAGAAAGCTAGAGTAGCGTGACAGATTGTGATACGGTTGTCCCAATATACTTGAAATTGCACATCTTACAACTTCTTGTACTTTTTAGTCATTTTGAAGAGCATAATAATGTTTAAAAAATTCATTAAATATGGGTGTCCAACCAAATTATTAGGGTGCATTTAACTTTGTTTATTGAGACTTTTGTATTATGTGATTTTTAATCATTAAAGCAATTTGATAACAGCTGCATACATTCTGTTAACATTAAGATCAGAACATCATATACCAGATTATAGAAAATCATTTTCACATCCTGCTCCCACAGTTTTCCAACCATCAGCTAGAAAGGGATTGCATATGTTACTAGGTACACATCATGTATGCAACCCTAACAACAACAACAACAACAATAAATGCTAGGATTACAAAGCAAGAATACTTCGTTTAAAACTCCCATTTAAAGGTAATAAATATAGAAGGAGAAGAGACTTAGTTATTTTTTGCATGTCACGTAACACAAAAGAGCCATTACAGACCTTGAGATTGCTAACAATAGATTGGGCATCATGATATGGCGGCTGCAAAGAATACTCTGCAAGAAGAGGCAGCAAAGATGACACAAACGTTGATCTTTCTTGTTGTGCGGCCTGAAAGAACCAAATGTGATCATTTGTGAAAGTCTAATAAGTTTCCCTTAATACCATTCATACCATAACATAGGCCATTGGAGAAATTTATTTGCGTGTGAATCAAAAATTTGACATGAAAATGACAGTAGTTATTCCATATAATTATATGGATTTTTATTTATATCTATACTATTATATAAAGCCCACAACTGAGTTGGTGTGTAAACATGTAACATTTTTTTGATTTTCCCAAAATGCCCACAAGAGCAGTTAAATAAAAGCAAGAGTATTTATGCCATAGATTCAGTTTTCTTTTCTTTTTTTAATCTCTCAGCTACCTTGATTGTAAATTTCATAGCACACACATGATCTTTTCAATTGCACACATTAGTGTGCTTACCCTTCTAGTATGATGTCTGTTGCAATCATGTTAATGAAATTGGTTAGTTTATTACAATAAGAATACATATGTCCTAAACTTTGACAAGCTCTAAACAATTCAACATACAACAGGACTAAAGTATAAACAAAAGCATGTGTGAAGTCTAGATGTATGATCTCTTAAATCTCCTGAGGTTAACTAAGAAACTCAAACATTAGCTACATCAAATCACCAATACTAGCAAACATCATCAACTTCACAACTGAATAAAAACTAGAGCAGTCAAAGGAATTTAAAACCTGCAAAGAGTTCTACCACTACTTCGAATTTGGACACAACAGTGAACTTCTCAAATGAGCACTCGATCACTTTTGGCTTCATAGAAGTGTCAAAAGCACGACATGAGGGAAATTTACACTAGATCTGAAAGGAATATACCTGCAATGCATATGTAAGACTTATATTTTCCTCAATTATGTCTTGTCTATAGGAGAGGGCTTTAGAAGCAGCATCAACAAGGTCTTGCTGCTGCTGATCAAAGGCCTAATGGCACACATAAAGAAGTTCCATCAATTATAGATGTGAGAATATATATATATATACAGAGAGAGAGGATGTGATAAAAAAATAAAAAAATAAGAAAGAATATGAGAGCAATCCTGCCTACCATACGCATATAAGCAATGTGCTTTTCTAGGACATATTTCTCATTGCGTATTTGAGCTTCCTATCAACAATAGTAATTAATAGTAAGACGAGAGTTAGAACAAAACAAGAAATTCAACTTGGCAATATGTGAAGATCGCAAACATGTTTGACCTTGATTGAGTAGTCAGCAAGATGTCTCCGCAACTGCAAAATCTCTTCTTCTTGTTCACGAATGCTAACAAAAAGATCCTAACGTGTGTTTATATATATTCATCAAAAGAGGGTCAGAAAGTTTCTCATCAACATAGCATTAGGTCCAACAAAATCAATGCCTCCTAGAATATGAAAACTTAGCATTTGCCAGTGTACCTGCTTCCAGAGGCTAGTATTATTAACTTCAGCAATGGGCATTAGCCCACGTCCAGATAAATTAAACCGTGGATCACATTCTCCTTCCATTTGAAGCCTAAAAACATAACTATGATGTCATTTGCAGTTTTACGCACCACTCACTAATATTATTAAGAAAAAATATATTGCCAATCCATTTTAGCAGTGTAAGGTTTTTACATCAGATGCTAAATACCTGTTGGGAGAAAAAGATGCTGTAGATGGCGATGAAAATTGAGAGAAGCCAACATTATCTACAGGTTTCTGACCACCAGAAAGCACTTTCAAATTCCCATTGATTTTGCTACTCTCAGATTGGCTTTCAGCATGACTTTGTGTGTCATGATCCTCATTATTTCGCATTATATCTTTTTGAACTATAGCACCTGATGGATTGTTTAGAAAAATGCCGCCAGTGCCACTAACCCCATCTCCTTGGTTTACCACAGAGGAGTCAAATTGATGAGCTCTGAGTGGTCTTTGAGCATGATTATCCCAATTATCAACTAAACTAGGCCTTTGAGCTGTTGAGTTATCTGATTTCTGCCAAAAAGTTCAGATTTTCAAATATTGTAACAAACAATGATAGTGTATGTAAAGGCGTACACTGATTCCATTTTGTAAAAGATAAAAGCTACAGAAAGATAAGCAGCAAAATGCCTTTATTACAGAGAACTAATAATCACAAAATTTGGAACCACAAAGCGAACACCACATTCCCTAGTAGCAGGAAACTCCTACTTGGGTGACGTTTTATCTGAAAAACTCAATTCCACACTCCAAGTAAGAAACTTAAAGGAAACTAACCCACATTGAGGAATAAACTCGCTCCCAACTGAAATAGAACCTCTCAAACACACAAATCTCAAAGAAACAAAAAAAAAAACAACTCAAATTGAGTATGATACTTTCTATTCACATAATATTTATTTACACAACAAAGACTATTTATAGTTGACATCAATCTCTAATATTTATTCATATTTTAACACATATATTACAACTAAGCAGAAGAAAAAATAATTGTTAGAATATATTTATATATTCATATAAAATATATACATGCTCCCGGTAATTGTATAGCATCGTTTTTGCACTACCCATGCTTCATAGGGAGTAGGATAGGATAATCCCATGTATATGGGATTACAAATATCATGTATGTGGTATTGCTAATCCCATCCAGCCAAACAAACATGATATAAATAGTCCCTATGGGACAAACTCCTAGCTCACGGAGCCCACTCTTTTCTAATCCCATCCCACCCACCCTCTTTATCCGACCAAACAAATGCGACCAAAATGTCAAAACATCCTAGCAGCCAAGCATAGACCTCCTGTGGTAATGTAATTTAAAGTCTAAAATGGGAGCAAATGTTCTAAAAGAAGGAGTGGGAAGTACACAATTAGTTGTATATCTGATGCAGGACAGCTTTGAAATCTTTGAGATTGCTGGCTGTCTTTCTTTCTTTTTTCTTTTTCTTTTTTTAGCGACAACAAAAAGATTTTATTAAAAACCAAGAAGAAGGGAAAGAGGAAAGAGGACAAGAAGTCCTCATACAAGAAAAGGCACAAACAAAAGGCACAAAACTCCTAGCACTAGGGATGGCAAACAGTAGCCCAATTACTAGAAATCAAGAAAAATGGAACTCCTTTAAAAGGAAGGAGGAGACACAAATGCCCAAAAAGACGCCAAATACTCCCCCCTCTACATATAACTCCTTGCCATCAAAGATTTGAGCATTTCTCACCAACCATATAGCCCAAAAGATTGCGAAGACAACACAGGACCACATAGTTTTGGCTCTCTTGATGCCGCCAAACCCTTCGAATCTAATAAGAAGCAAATGAATGCACTCCCGTGGAGCAACACACTAATCATCACATAAGCCGAAAAGACGCTGCCATAAAACAAAAAAAAAGCTTTGACATAAAAGCTGAGAAAGAGAGAGCAATTAGGAAAAGTAACAGGTTTGAAGAGAAAATTGTTTTAAGAAATAAGAGGAATATAAAGATGATAAAGGGGAAAGAGGATTTCTACCTTTTTACCTCCTACAGTTTGTAGTTCTAGTTACTCCAGCCAAGAGAGCATACACAGTTCATTCAAATAACACCTCAACTCATTCCTCCCAAAATGAGTACACCCACCTCCTTTTATAGTGGAGGTTAAAATAAAATAAAACAAAAAAGTAGAAACCAGGTGATGTAGGACAACGCTGTGAAGACTTTAAAACTGAAATACTGTGGCTTTTATGGTGGTTTAAAGCTGAAAATCAGTGGGAATTTTAGGGTTTCAATTAATGAATGGAATTAACTAGGTTTAGGATTGATAAACTAAGAGAAAGAGATCAAAACAGGGCTGTTTAGGAGCTTTGAATAGTAGCTCGTGAACAGTAGACTGAAACAAAAAAGAAAAAGAACAAAGACGAAAAAATTTAGGCATCACACCTAGATCCCATAGCCATCACACCTAGGGTTAGGGTTGCATCACATAAATCCAAAAGAGGCTTCAAAGCCCTGAAATTTCTGTAAAATATCAACTTGATTGAATTAGAAGCATTACATGACTGTATACAAATTTTAGAGGCTTCCTTGACCAACTAGGATTGTAAAATAGGAAACTACTAAAATTTTGACTTCTAAAGCCTATCTAACTAAGACCAAATAAGAAACATAAATAAAAACTAATTAAAGAACTTGACCTGCAAGACAATCCATGGGCGACCTCCTTACAGCCCATGTCAGCAAATATGAAAATTACCAAAATACCTCAGGCCTAGAAATCCTAGAAAACATAAAAATAATCATAAAATAGGACTCTAACAATACTAGAAAGATGATTATGTATAGTTACTATCGGTTTCTCTTTAAAATCATGTCAATTTTCAAATATTGCTGCTTCTTTGAATTTACTCTTCCTTGAACTTCTTATACTTTGCATCACAAAGTGAAACAAGTAACTATTTTAATAAAATATTACCAAGTTGGAAGGTTACTTCAAGGCTAAGTACCCTAGTTACTAAGGACGTCACCTCATTACTAAGTAAAACCTCTATAAAGTACAAGTTCACGAAATACCTGCCACGACTAACAAGATTAAAACCCTAATGCCACAAAACCTTGCAAATTGCGTCTTCTTAAAAAGTGGGTTATCGTTTTCTTAGCAAGTATCAGTTGCATCAATGTCGCAATATCAATGAAGCAATTCGAAATAGAATATTAGCTAACTCCTCAATATACATATCCACATGCATATGCATATGCAAGTGTATGTATACTTTAGTTAAGTCAACGATACAATTATAGCTTGAAAGTTTACATTTCAACTTCATGGCAACAATGTTAAAAAAAACTTACAAATTTTTCAAGTTCCTGCATCTTTTTCTGAAGTTCAGTCCTCAACCTAGTGTTCTCATCCGCCTGAACACAAGATAGAATGAGCAAACCTCATTTAAAACATCCAAAGTCACATCAGCCACCAATACAAATAAAAAGCTTACCACTTTCCAATAAGAATTTGAAAATTTTTTAACAAAAAAATTAATAGATTCAAGTCAACTAAGCAATATAGCAGCATATGATTGCAAGTAAACCACAAGAAGAAACATACTTGCCCCAATAGCATGCATATAATAGAGCAGCCAGCAACCTTCAACATCTCTCATAGCATGCTGTACACTGAGAAAAACTAGATCCACACAACATGTGTGATGCCTAGCCTAAACATCGCCAATTACTTTGACTAAACAAATATCATCTAACATAGTTACATTTATAGAGAACATATATCACAGTTCTGTTGTTAGAAACTCAGAGAAAGACACAAGCATGACGACCAGCCATAAAAGCATGGTAGACACGGGGCGTGCAGGGGTAACATTGGACATATGTAGTTTATGATATTTCTTATACAATTACATCTCTACCCCCACAAACATCTCTTGTAATCTAAAATTCATTATGCTGAAGTTTTCTTATTTTTAGTCTTGCCCACACTACCAAGTTGTTTTATTTCAAGTTGTCCCATGTGCCTAAATTCTTCTGGTTTCAAGGAATAATCAAAGCACAATTTTCCTTATTCACACAATGACCTTAGATCTCGTCTTTAGTTGCCTCTTATTCCAGTTTGACTAAGCCTTGGGTGGATTTTCAAAAACAATCGATGAGCTCAATCAACTTCATTCACTCTCACAAGCGTAATTGCACTTAGGCCATTGTGCAATTTCACCAAAACTCATCAATCTGAGTTGCTATTGTTACGTGTTGGTTTTTTCTATTGCTGTTGAACCCTAGTTGGATCACCAAGAACAAACTACAATTAGTTACTTGTTGATTGTCAAGTGTACAAATCATATTGATTTGATGAAGATATGGAACAAGGTTGTGATGAAAATATTCCCTTCTTTGATCAATCCACTAGTAGGGAAATTGAAGAAGAAGAAGAAGAAGAAGAAGGGCTTCTTTAATGATCACAACTCATCTGAAGCCTATGGAAGATATACAACCATTGCTGCCCACTGAGTAGAACAAGGCAACAAAACCACCTACCAACACTTTCCTTACTTTAAAGGATGTTATAGAAGAACGCCATGAATTTGACCATGTTTTGCATTTGTTTCCAAAGATGAATGAGGCTATTTTTCTAGCTTTACTAGCTGTTGAGAAAAAAATACTGCAGTTTGTTGCGATTTGCCCTAAGGAAGTGCCTCTCAATGTTACCTATCGTTCTAGTGAGTGGAACGGGAACAAGAACGGGAACAGGAACATGAACGGAATGGGAACGTAGTACGCCGCATGTTTTAAAATGTGGTACGATGGGGTAGACTTGTATATATTACACTTAAGAATTTAAGATACTTTTAGCATAATTTTCTTTAACTATTAAGCATTCAATAAAATGTAATTTTTTAGTTCATGTAGCAAAACATTCTATGAGCACTATGACCTGTTTTTGATGTCTTGTCTTATCAAAACTTAACTCACCTTAAATATTAGTTCATTATATTTGATTTTTTTCTTCCTAAGGAAATACATTGGAAGAAACTTTTGAGGTCACTTCAAATCACTAAATTTACCATTTTGGAACATAAGTGTACCATGTTTCAGAACGTGCGTACCAATATGTAATTCGCTAGGGTATTAATGTTTTCCGGTAACATAGCTACCCACTAACTAATCATATGTTAGTCGCATGATGTCCTACATCACTACATTCAAGAAAGGCTTAGTTATGGTAATTATGATTCTTATGCCTTATAAGAAGAATAATTCTTAGTGTATTTTGGGTGTATATATGACGAGTTATTTTGTTGACATCTGTTACACAAAAAGCAGACTAAATGGATGGTCTATTCACACTTAAACATGGTTGTAGTTGATGTGCATGAAAGAGAACTCATCATCAAGGAGGGGTAGGGTGATTTTTGAGCAAAGAAATGCAGCCGTTGTTATGTCATCAATTTTCCCAAAAGCCTAAACTATTAGGAAATGGGCCCAACAACATATATCAAACTATCTAACACCCTCCCTCACGTGCAACCCCGTCTTGCATGTGGATAGACAAACAAAGGAGCAAACAAAAGGAGAAGAAAACTACCAAATAGAGAGAAACCAAACGGGAGTGGAATACCAAATGCCAATAGAGACTTGAACCCAAGACCTCTTTCAACAAAAGCTTTGATACCATGTTAAGTCACCAATTTTCCCAAAAGCCTAAGCTATTAGGAAATGGGCCCAACAATGTATATCAAGCTATCTAACAGCCATATGGTCCTATCTGAAGCTGCATGTTTAAAGTCAATTTGTGCCTCTGTCTACAAATGTTTTGAGTCATTTCATTGCCCCCCAACATGAGAACAAGTTGTTTTCTTAGAAGGGAGTCCTGATGTAGTAAGACTCGAATTTTCAGTTCTGTTTTAGATTGGCCAGTTGTATATGAACTGTCCTAAGTGACTAGTTCAGTCTTTTAGCTTATAAATAAGTGGTTAGGACCTTTGGTGATCAGTTTTTGATGATTTGGAATTGTGATTCTGAGCTTTAGCCCTTTGTATCCTTAGATTTGGGATTTTCTGTCTTTAATAGATCTATTCTTAGATTTAATTGCATCATCGCATGTGTTGGATACATGTAAAAATGTGTTCTTTCTTTCTTGTTTTCCTAATCTTTTGAGAACAGTAAATGCTTCAAACATTTAGGGGACAAACACGTTCATCACATAAATATATACGAAATAGATTACAAGTTTGAAGTATATAACTTGGAGGAAAATGATTAAAATCAAAACAATGTGGACTTGTATACCAATTAATCACTCCTATAAACTTTTAAATTTTATGAGTCTTAAAGCCTAAAACTTCAAAAAAAAATTGCGAGTAGAGCTTTTTTTTATATGTAAAAATAGAGCTTCTCAAAGTAGATATCAAGATTTTTTTTTTTTTTTTGGATCAACAACTAAGAGGATATTAAAACCTTTTGTTTACACATGTAACTAAACATCAATATATTTTGTAACATAAAAATGAAGTCATTATTCTTGTCATACATATAAAACATTTATTTGTTGGCATGTCACCGCCATGTCTGTATCCTACTTTTCAAAATTTTGCCTTATCAACATTTTCATATTATGTTGCACTCCCTCCATCCCAAAATATTAGTCCCTTATTCCATTTTTCATTGTCCCAAAATATTAGTCCATTTTCAAAAATTAAATACTAAAATAACATGAATTTCCTTTTTTGCCCCTTTTTTAAATTAATATACACAAAAAGTACTATTATGGCAATTGATGTTCCCAAAAAAAATGTACTATTTTAATTTTAAATCAAATGGTACTTTTGGAAAGTTAATATTTTTGAAGTGTAATAATTGTACTATCAAAAAAAGTTGAATTTCTCAAAAGGGACTAATATTTTGAGACGGAAGAAGTATCCATGTCTCATGTCCATATCCATGCTTTTTATTTCAAGAATTCACAACCCAATAATCATCCACAATTTGATTCAATAATTCTAGTTAACATTCTATTCCTATTTATGAAAAACAAAATAAATAATAAATAAAATAAGTGTAATCCAAAATCTTTGCTTCTACTATGGAAATTCAAACTCATATCAAATTTACAAATGTATGATATTTCATACACAAAAAACAAAGCATGGATAAAAATATACCATTCTACCAAGGCCTTGTAATAATGCCTAATACCATTTAATTTTCTTATTATTTTTGGTACAAAGGAATAGTAAATCAACCAGAATGATGTTGGTCTTCAAAAAAAAAAATTCTATTACACCCTTCGAGAGCAAGGGTAGAATTTTTGGGTCCCCACTACATGGACAGGGAAATGGTGCATGCCGACATATCTGAATGCATGCTTTCACATATTTTTCTAAATGTATGGCACAAAAGTACTTCAAATTATAACTCAACAATGGGAGGCAAGTCTATAGGAGCTCAAAAAAATTAACTTAGAAAGTATATTACCCCTTGTGAGCTTTTGATAGAAATTTGGCGACTAGGTTTCGATACTTGGGTCCTTGCCGACTCTTACTTTGTTCATGGACGATTCCTCATCATACTTAGTTATCTCTCATTTCCTCATCTTTGTCTTTCCCGAGTCACAGTGTTGTTTGGGGTGTCCTAAATAAGTGCATTTTTTTGTCTTTTTGGACTACAAAGTTGAGGAAAAAAATATGAATGTTTAGGTTAAGTTTTTGACTTTTTATGGAAAAATGTGTATTAAAAAAATGTATAAAGAAGTGTGTAGGAGAAGATAATTAATGAATTCGTACAGTTGGGCAATGCCTTGGCTGAAAAGGAAATGGGAAAAGATTGCCTACTTTTTGGCCTTTGATTTGACGACGTTGTTCAGCCCGTGGGGGCCCAGAACGGGTCCCATTTTTCTAATCGGAACCGTTCAATATGTAGAACTCGTTGAGTACTATATTTTTTTAAAAAACACGTTCATTGGATATCGATAGCTATTTGATCGTGTTAGTTTTTTTTGTCACATCTTAACTATAACACCATCCATTTTTTATACAAAACTGATTTGATCATGTATTTAGCAATATCCGATAGACGTGAATTTTACAAGCATATAGTATTCGACGAGTTCTACACATTGAACGGTTCTGATTAGAAAAAAGGGACCCGTGGTGGGTCCCCCCAACTTTACCATCCAATTTAATGAAAATACACATGTAATATTTTATTTTTTTCCTTTCACTCCTATGCTTTCAGGTCTGTACATAGGCTGCCGTGAAGTTGATTGGTAATTAATATTATGTATATTAATTTTTTTATATTTTTTTTTGGTGAATAGTGATAATTTTTTAACTTTTTGGGTAACTTTTTGACTTTTTGGCTTTTTGGCTTTTTATGGAGTTGCCAAACTAGCCCTTAGTTGTTTCTTATTTTAGAGAGAGAGAGAAACTCAAATGGAAATCACACCAGCTTCACAAATAATAACTTAATCATCATATTAAAGCCCTTAGAGATGAGAAGTCACCATATATTGAATTAACCATTCTTTGTGAAACTGCAATTAGTAAATTTATTAGCTAGATTTCCTTCCAATATAAATACTTCTTCCACAATTCATAAGTTACCACACATCCCTTCATCAGCCTTGCTTCACAAACTACCATCTAAGGCACAATCTAGGATCCATTCTTAAAGAAATTCTATGCTTCTTTCCTCAAGGATTTAATAGCTCGATGCTATAGTATGGAAGCATGGATTGAAACTAGCACCGATACATCACCTACTACTCCGTAGGTACACAAGTTCACCTAACACCATGGTGTGCCACATCACCATCTCTAAGTGCTTGGGTCCCATTTATTACTCTCATGAGGTGACACCATATCACTAAGCGTTTTGGCATTTCCCCTCCATGGTCGAGCCATGTCGACTGAGGTTAACGAACGCAGTACCTTAGGTTTGAACCTAAGCACTTAGGGACAAGCTTTAAGCGGCACTCCTAGCTCACTTCACTCAAATGTGTTTCTCCTCCCTTAACCCATTCTAGCAGCTCCCTTAACCCATTCTAGCAGCCCTCCATTTGAGCATATCCTTCCCCCGCTAAGGCCACTCCTTGGATGGGCAAAGTAACTCTCTAGCTACACAAGTCTCTTCCGTGCCTCACAGTCCCTTACCTCCAGTAGCAACTTGATACTCCCATATCAACCTAGCTCAAGAGCAGGGTCCAGGTACCCTCTCAAGGTTGGTGTCACAGTCATGGGGGCATGAGTGCTACCCTATGCCTCGTGCATAGAACTACTAGGATTATGTGCCTTAATGGCTAAAGTTGAGGGTTCATCGAGATGCTTATCTCATCCTTCCTCAAAGGGGCCTCCACCACGGTCAATCTTTACAGAAAGAGAGACATTCAAGACTTATGTCAACCAAACATTATGCTCTTTTAGCTGAAAAAGGCTTCACAAACAAAAGGTATGGAAAACAAATTATAAAACAGGGATAAATAGAATTTCTTAGTTGAAGGTGATAAATAAACTATTATCATTAAGGGGAGGTTTGTCACAAATTTCTTCACAAAGCCCCTTCCTTGAAGACTGGAGTTTTAAAAACCTCAAATTAGTTCTCTATAAGACACTCAACAATCCCTCTATAGCTTCTATAGGAATGAAATTGTTAGGACTAATTCTGAGTCAAAAAAAAATCAAAAAATAATTATGCAAACTACCTTTTTTGAAACTGCATAAAAGCCTGTAGCAGAGGACCTTTGGCTTGGGTTCTAGGAATTCATATAAAAAATGCCAAAGCTTAGGATAGTAGGATTGTAGCAAGTCTACCCCTCCAAGAGCCCTCATTAGCATCAGCAGGACCAAAACGATGTAAGCCCCTTTAATATTATAAAACACTATCATTGGAAGGTTAGGAAGCTTCACAACCATCCCATTAGCTTCATGGGAAGAGTTTAAAAATAAAAATAAAAAATTCTGCAAAGCTCTCTCAACTCAATAACCAGGTGTTTTAAGGTCTCAGGTATGGTTTCCACTACTCCAAACGAATGTGAATAGACTGGAAAAAAATCAGGATAGGACATTAATTGCGGAAACTGACATTGAGTCGAGGCAAAAAGGAAGAACTGCTAGCATTTCCTATACTATTTTCTGATCACAAGTGCAAGGATTAGATGTGAGCAAGTTGTTCCCTGTCTGTTTTGTCTTCTATCCTTTCCAAAACAATTTATTCTCAAGCTTCCAAAATTCTTAAAGAAAGTTCAACCAGAAAAATACATCTTAAGGCAACAAATACCTACCTAATTTCTCAAATAAAGTGATTACCAAGCAGGTAAAACAGTAATTGTTGAACCATTACCACAAAACCAACAGCACAATGAGCTATCAATAAGGAAAGAAAGAGCTAAAAAAGTTAGCATTTCAAGGTATATTTTATACATTTGAAACTATAAAGCATGGACACTTTGGAAAACATGGTGTACCCAATATGGGTATGTATTGGATACTAGTACTTTGCATAGTCCTTCTATATGCGTACTGGGTAATTTAAATATGTACCCAAATTATTTTTTTTCCCTTACTTTTTGTGTACCCCATAATTACCTCGTATATACCAAGCCAAACCTTATCCAGAAAAGTATTTCCTTTTATATAAAGGTGAAGTTAGTTTCATCAAACTTTTTCTATATACTTGACATGATTTTAAAATTAAACTTTGGTTTGGTTTGTAAGTTCTTTAGTGTAATGAAATTTAACTTTTGTTTATAGCTTACCTTTGGCATTAAAATATTGTAGGTTGCATCCTTAACCAACTAAACCATTAACTAATTTTTGCATTACTTCAAATTTAAAATCAAATCTTTATTTACAAATGTACCCATACCAAACTTTTTTTTCAGAATTTACCGTATCAATCTAGATTTCAAAGCACTTTCACATATTTCTATACATTTTTTACACATTTCAATATTTTATTTTGTACGCCCGCCAAGGCTAATGGCAGACTTTGACTCAGATACTTAACAAAGAACAAAATTGAGAACAAATTTTTAAAATTTAGCAGTAAAAAAAAAAAAAAAAAAACAAAAAAAAACGATAATACAAATCAAAATTTCAGAGTGGCAGTTCAAGAGAAGCAGTAAATGAAAGGAAACAAGGATAGAGAAGAGGAATTGTTAGACCTGTTGTTTGATGGTGACCTCAGCAGCTTCAACAGCTTTCATAACCTGAAACAATCCATCGTTGTCGTTGTGGTTGTTGTTAGGATTGGGGGAATCATTACTATTACTAGTGACAGCCAAGGCAGCGAACTTCTGAGCCAAATTAGCTCCTCCTCCATCAATTCCACCACCATTATCCATCTCTGTTTGAGTTTTCGAGGATTATGATCTCGACCCAAAACGATTACGATGGTCGATCACAGTCCTCGATGCGTATAAGCCTAACAAGCAATTTCAGAAATGAGATTCAAAACAAGCTGAGGAAGACGATTGATCGACCTGTGTCTACATAATCAGAGACTCATATTATATATACATGTATATGTATTGTATGGACATTTAGGTTTAACTATATAAACCCTTTTTTAATCGATGGCTGTCTCAAAACCCTAGAGCGAGAGAGAGATGAGAATCAAGACAAAGAATAATGTCCTCTTCCCCTGCTCTGTCCGTGTCTTACATGATAGTAACTTGAAGACCAAGCTCGCACACACCACATGCGCGCGTGATGATAATGATTACCAAAAATATAATTAAAAAGAAAAAAAATCATAACATTTGGGTATAACTTAAAAAAAAAAAAGGAGAATTTTTTTTCAGGTTTCTGGTATTAAGACTTTATAGCATAAAACACACTCAATATTTTTATAATGTCTAAGACTCTTCAAGTTGATCTAGATAAAATTGGTCTAGAGAAAATTTCTCAATATTTTCATAATTTCTTCACGTGTTTGAATTTGCAGCGTTACCACCATGGGTTTGTTTACATGGTCCAGAGAAATTCTTTGGTTTAGACTGAATTTTCTTTGGTCTGAACTGAATTTTCTCTGGACTTTCTCTGGGTTGGTCCAGAGAATTTCTCTGGTTTGGTTGGTCTGAATTTTCTCTAGGTTGTTGGACTGAAATCTGAGAAGCTGATGCATACTTACCTTGATTGAATTACCCATGAGATTTGTGATGATTTGCCAAAATCTACCTGGATCTCCATAATACTGAAATTCTTGAATCGGGAAAATTCAGTTTAAAAATCATAGAATTTCTCTGGTTTCAACCCAGAAAAAATTCAATTAAAAAATCAGAGAATTTCTCTGGTTTCAACCCAGAGAAAATTCAGTTCAGGTGAATGGCCATGGCCATGGGAGTTTCCCTATCTTGAAGCTGTAGCAGTGTTGATGGAATGTGAAAATCCAGTGAATTCTCCACTATACATGAACACCAATAGTAGTGCTTATACTAGTTGTATTAATAAAACAGTCAAGTCTTCTTCACAAACCCATTATTAACACCAATAGTAGTGAGGCAACAAAGGATGCTGGTGTAATTGCTAGTCTCAATGTGGTGCATATCATCAATGAACCCACTGACGCTGCCATTGCTTATGGTCTTGACAAAAAGGCAACTAGTGTTGGCGAGAAGAATGTTTAGAAACTCAAGAGTGGTGCATTGGTGGATTACACACAAAATAATAATAATAAATAAATAATTAGAATTAAAATCGAACACATGCATTAAGAAAATGAAGACGCAGTGATATATATGCAGTAGTATTGAAATTCGAATACCATTAGTCCAGAGAAAATTGGTCCAGATAAAATTTATCATTTTTGTAGCTAGTTATAACAAGCTCTATATATATATATATATATGCACATTGATCATATGTTTTCTTTCTTTCACAATTTCAGAAACCAAACCATGCACGAGGTGAAAACTTTTCTACATTTGTATATTTTCCAAGGATTATCAGTGAGAACTGAGTGTATGTACAATCTATTATAGGCCTTTTCCAGTTTCTCTCTCTATGCAGGGCAAATCAATTATAGGAAAATCCAATATGGATTTGGGTATAGTCATAACAAAACAACACAAATATTTGATACTTGGCCAAGATGGCAATGACTCTACGTATTGGTGAAAATCTGAAGCTAATCAAGGGAGATTAGGGAAAGTGGTGTTCTTAGAATACTCACATTTTGCTTACTATACATAGTTTCATTCTCATGATACTGTTAAAGGTTTCAAAAAACCTAGTATAGTGATCACAAATAATTTAAATTATTCCAATTCATAACTTCAAATCCACTGGCTACCAAATACATCATAGGTAAAATAAGTTACTAGATGGAAGGATAACTAAATGAGAGACTATACAATATAGGAGCATGCATATATATATTGGTGAAAGGAAGAGTAATAGCACCAAAATGCATGGATACGATAGAATCGTTCTACAGCACAGGCATTGTATAAATGATTCAATCACAGAGAAAATTCAAATTTCTCTAGGTTCAGTTTGACCAATTTTCAAACCAGAGAAAATTGATAAATTCTGAACTTCCCAAGCCCAGAGAAAATTGGTACAATTATTAGAATCTTGAATTTGAAGCTGTGATTTCAAATCTTCCACTTTGTTGGGTTATGAATAAAATTGGTTTTCAAAAATTCAGGTGGCCTCCTCTCTCTCTCTAGCTCGAGACCATCCATCACATGCAAGCAAATCCTTTAAAACCACCATGGACGATGCTGCTGTTCGGGTGAAGCAAGAAACCAAGCGACCGAGGTTCGGATGAATAGACACAAACCCAGACCTCTTTCTCTCTCGGGTGGGAGAGACAGAATTGTTTGTGAGACACATACATGATCTCTCTATCTATCACCTTCTCTCTCTCCACATGGGCAAAACCCAGCTTGCTCATAGCCCATGGCTGCCACTCTAGGGGGTCCAGGGGACGTCGTCATCCCGTTGCCCAAGCCACCTTGTACACCATCGGCGGTCATTGCTTCGGTTACTATTGACTGCGACACGGTCTGGCTCCATCGATTCATGCCGAAATACCGATCTCCACCGATTGATCTGGTGCTTCACTTTAGACTATCACTCGTCGGGATCGATCCATCAATGGCTATTTCCATAGGCGTAGCAGCAGAAGAGAAAGAGGCAATGTTATTGTTGCTGGGCTCGGCCATATCTGATGAAGAGAATCAACAACGCGAAGTCGAAGAGAGAGAGAGGAATTGTGGGCAAAAGAGTCAAATTTCTCTGATATATGTTTAGGGACTTTAGACATCAAAAAAATAATTTTGTGGATCTCTTCCATTACGAAAAGTGGGGAGGGACCCTAGACTAATTTTTCAAAAAAATAAATAAATAAAAATCATAACATTTGGTATAAACTTAAAATAATAAATAAAATAAAACTTTTGCTCCAAATATCAAAATCAAACTTTCTTTATCAAAAATCCAAACGTAAAAAAAATTTGTCCATAAGGATATACTAGTGTAAAATGTCCAAACTATCCCTATATATATTAGATCAAACGCCATCCGCGGCGCTCCAAGAAGTGGCGAAAGCGTATTTGTGGAGTTGTTTTGATTGTACATTTTTTTTTTTAAGCACAATCTGAGTTTTAATTTTTTTTTTTTTTTTCGTGTTGTTGTTGTCACAAGTAAGGATGTAAAATGACCCAATTAGCACAAGCTTGAGCTAGCGTGGACTCTGGGCTGGGCTTAGGCTTCATTTTGAAGCTCAACCTGACCCATCGGGCCACTCGAGACCCAATGTCATTTTTAATGGAAAAAATAGAAAAAAATAAAATAAAAATGTTCAGGCCCATCCAGCCTCACCAACGCTAAACCCATTGGCCCAGTCCGATGCTTGGCCTACAGACCCGAATACCCTCTGGGCTTGGGCTTAATTTTATGGCCTATAGGCCGGTCCAACCAAGCCCCAAATTTTGCGGAAGCTCGCACGACCCGATGTGACTATAAACCAGGCCAAACTTACACCCCTAAACACAGGTGTTCTTTGAAAAGGAACAAATATAGAGAGATATTTGGATATGTTCTCTGAAACTAATAGGATAGAGAGAGAATGGATTTCAATGTGTATAGATAAAATATGCTTGAATTCTTCTTTGTTTTTAGAGATTTAAGCTCAAATTTGTGCTTGAATTTTTTTCTTTTCTTTTTTATAGAGAATTTGAGCTCAGATTTGTTGTTCAAGGCTCAAATCTAGAAAAACAAGTTTGTAAATTCAAAACATTTTTCAAATCTAAGCTTAACAGATCAATAATTTTTAACATATAAATTTCAACAGATAGATTTTTTTCGACATATATTTGAACAAGAAGGGAAATTTGAATTAAAAAGATCAACAAATTAAATAGATAGGGTAAAAAATTGAATAGATTGGGAAAAAATTGACCATATATTAAAAATTTTGAACAGATAGTCAACAAAAAGTCAACAGATAAATTAAGGGATAAAATTGAAAACAAAATGTCCTCCAAAAACCAACAAAAGGTCTTATCACAAACTATTTCACAAAGGATGGACTTCCACCAACAAAATTCCACTGACCTAATGTCTTAGACCCTCTTTAGTTGGATTTTTCAACAATTAACCCAAAAAAAAAAAAAACATTTTACACTCCCAAAGTTAGGATATTTTGGTTTTGATTTTTAAAAAATTATTTTCAAATGAATTGACATTTTATGTTTAAGCTATGTTGGGAAAAGCTAAAATGTCCTAAAGAAAGTCAAAAATATAAAATAGGTGAACTTCATCAATAAGACAAAATGTCATATCCAAACCATATTCATTTCACTTTTTTCTTTCACAACCATACCATGAATTGACATTTATGTTAAGCTATGTTGGAAAGCTAAAATGTCTAAAGAAGTACAAAAATATAAAATAGGTGACTTCGTCCAATAAGAACAAAATGTCATTATACAAACTGAGAGGGTGTTTTATGATCTGGAGTTGGGCCGAGTATCGACCGAGCAGGTTGAGAGCCAGCAGTGCATTGGGCCGAGATGATCGACCGTTCGCCAGAGAAGGCTGCCAGAACTTGGGCCGGCAGAACTTGGTCGCGATGCGTCCCGCCCAAGACCGTAAAGAAGCAGCTCGTAGGCAGAGCTCGGTCGGACCAGGATGCTCAATCCGAGATTAGCCGAAGCCACAAGCTGAGTGACCGGCGCCGAAATGGCAACGGTCCGGTCGAGGTTAACATTTGACCAACGTGAAAGCTGACACGAGGTGCTTCGGGCTATGGCTTTGCCGAGATGCCGCCTAGCCCGGTCCCCCTTGGAGTTTGCCAGGGAAGCGTTTGGGTATGAAGCAATCGACACGGCGCAAGCAACGCATATAGGCAGCCTCGGCTGCGAGCTTCCGCTGTGAGACAGGCAGATGCAGATTACGGTGATGTAGCAAGGTTTGTGCGACAGATGGGATAGCAGAGCCAGCGTCAGGAAGATGACTGGGAGTGGGAATATGGGCGCAGAGGTATATAAGCATGTCTGCCGCCCCCCATACGGCGACACACGAACATTCTCTGTACAGACTTCTTAACACTCAAACACGTCTCGCTCCCTTTCTCTATCCCATCCTGAGATGTGTGCATACTTGCTACCGTCGGAGGTTTTTCCGGCCACACACCCCGCCGGGTAG